TCAGCATCATGTGAAACAAACAAAAAAAAAAGTAGCTTCTATGTTGCTGATCTGTGTGTCACTGTGGGAGCCATGCTGGCACCACATTTTATGTTAATATTTTGAGATTAATAGAGCTCTTTTCTTTTTCTACAGCCCACCTCTGAGCCCGGTCTTCTCTTCGGCAAAGGCAAAATGCTGATCTTTCAGGCTACTGAGGGTAAAGCTGACCTATTTTAAATATTTCCATACTCACAATGTGTGACAAGTAAAACACTGTACATAACAGTAAATCATCATCATCAACATAAATCACCATTCGCAAGCTGTTGGAAGTACAGATAATGTGCTGGTCAGAGAGAATGTGTAATTCCAGCACATATATTTTAATCACATGTAATTTCATCTCTAATTATGGCACACCCTCAGTTGATACACATTTGCTTCATGCAAAATCATCCCTCAAAACAGGATATTCAGAATGATGATTCTAAGAAAACAAATACACAACTAATAGCAACTTTTCTGTCACCCACAGAAGCCAACAGCACTAAATGGTTAGCAAAGAATCCAGATACAAACTTGGCCTCAGAGAAAGGAGAAGTTCTGACGATAAACAAGGATGGGTATTACTTCCTGAATCTTCAGGTGACACTGTGTTCATGTAAAAACTTGCATACGGTCCAGCTGCAGTGGAACAAAAAAGTCATTGTGCATGGTTGGATCAATACAGACACATGCAGCACAGGCCTCCTCGGCAAGGTAGAAGAGCTGTTTGCTGGAGGGACCCTGGAGGTCATTGTCAACCCAAAAATGTGTATTAAAACCTCTGAAGCTCTAACCCACCTTGGTATCATCTACATGCGCAAGCCTTAGATGCAGCGCTGATACAAATCCTTGGCGTGTTCCAGGGCACCTGTCCAGCCCTATAGAACAAAATGACCCTGGTCAGATGCAAAGATGGTAGGGTGGTGTACTGGGCAAAGTCTCACCCCTTTAAATTCTGGTCTACTGAAAAGAAAGATCCACCCCAAGAGAATTTACACCGATTCAATGTCCAGTTATTTTGGACAGTAAACTAAATATACCGTATAGAAGCTCCAGGATCGGTCTAGGGTTGACGTCATCACTACAAATCTGTTTCTCTGCTGTTGTGTTTAATGGAAGACTTTTTCAAATTCAAAGTTTAATATTCTGCTGTATAGTACTATAGAAATGATATATAAAAATATACTGTAGCTTTGTAGGGATTTTATACTGCATAGATTAAAAATATTTTAGAAAAACACAGTTGGATTGTTCTCTTCTTGTTAGTCAGGCAAGCCAGTAGTCCAAAATGAACCAGTCTTACTTGATTGTTTATAATGCATTTCTTTGTTGGAGTCGCTTACATTTAAAATGTGTAGTAGTTCACTCCGAGAATGTACTATTCTGAAGTGCAACATCTGGCAGAAAGCCAGACTGTGTTATTTGCACAGCTTATATTTGCTACTTACTGATGTTTTGAACTGTATGAATTACATATTTATGTTGTATTTATTTATTATTTGGACATACAATATATACAGTAAGCAGGCATATACTGTATTTAACAAAATTTCATGGGCATGTCAGCCAAAAACCAATGAATGTATGTCACTGTGTGACAATGTGTGTCATTGTGTAGCATACATATAATGTCAGTAAGTCTCTGGAATGTATATACAGTGATTTCTTTATTAAATTGTACAAACTGGGCAACATGGTTGGTAATTGTTTAAGAAAAAAGTTCAAACTGATAGATACAATGTATTTGTTTAAACATGATTTTGTTGAATTCTTATTTCTTTTCATAATCTGTAATGATTTTAAGAAGTTCATTTCTCTTTTAATATTGTAAAAACAAGAACCAGAATTGCATATGTTGGTATTCTATTTTCAGGATCTGGAATTCAAATGAAAAGTGAAATGACTTGACGGAACTAACCTCCAGTTCTTCTTCACTACTTGTATCACACATTATGAGACACGAAATCACGAGTCATGGTGGTTTATGTGGAAAGTTTCATGTGTTAAGAGACGTTGAACGAAATATTTGGTGTTGTCAATGATTTTCACTTGTGCCCCTGATAATGTGTGTACATCAGTGTCATTATGCATCCACAATAAGTGTTGCAATTGTCCTGGAAACCTTTAAACATGTTTTACATCCGACTACATCAACATAACTACTGCAATGTAACAATTTTATAATTAAAAACTATATCTTCTTCATACTGTCTCCTATGTCCGGTGTGTTTAAAAGCCCCCACATGGAGCTAATGAAACTATGGATGAATGAATGAATGAATGAATGAATGAATGAATGAATGAATGAATGAATGAATGAATGAATGAATGAATGAATGAATGAATGAATGAATGAATGAATGAATGAATGAATGAATGAATGAATGAATGAAACTACGGTGATGAATTACAGCTTTTGACTGTGAGTCATTTTCAAGACCCTGGAGAAAAAGTGAAAGTGAGAGGGCATAAGTTCATAGTGGGACCCAGCAGATATTGAGTCACTGATAGAAAGATATAGCGGGACCCTCCCCGCTCTATGCTCTCGAAGAATTTGCCCTCCAGATTCTTAAGAAAACAAACTCACAATTCTGCTCTTTTCCCAAACATCAGACAGCACATCTACTGACCTACATCAAAATAATAGTGATAAGGTAGAGAAAATGTTATTGGAACATGATATTAGTCATTACATTCAAGACACATATTTTCCAACTTACTGAGGTTTCATCTGAAAGCTCTTCTTTTCCAAACCTCAGCTTCAGAGTCCCATATCTCTCACCACTCGCTCCATTAGCTGCTGCCACCACAGCTTTCGATTACACCAGGGAGAGGTCCAAGATGTTGAATTCAAATGCAGAGAACAGACCTACCCAGTTACCACCCACTCTGTCTCATTTATTAGAGGCATCTGCATGGGTTTGTTTGTTCCTACCCTGGCTTTCCACCACCTGACGTCAGGCAGATGCACAAGAGTTGTGTATCCACATAAACACGTGCGGCAGCTACTGTGAAAACTGTCATTGCCGCTTTCCGTCATTTGCACCCGAACGTCACTGTGACATTTTGTGTGCATTGTCAGGCATGTTTTTTAACATGTGGCCACTGAGTAACGCACACTTTTTCAAGCGCTGCTGTCATTTCTCAGTGATTGTCAGTAACTGATAGTTATACATTATAATACAAGATCTGCCAAAATTGAAGATGATTTCTGTTTGACAGAGCAACATCATAAATCAAACCAATGGACTTTATACCTCCATGAAGAAGGACACTACAAACTCTTAAGCATGTGAGCAAAAGGTTTGGATTTCTTTTATTAAAGACTCAGCAAAATGAACACCCTGCTTCCAGATAATTCAAATATCAGCACTCTACTGCTTTCTACTTGATCTAGAGGCCAACACAAGGGGACAGCATTTAGCTGTGTACCAAGCCCACCTCTTTCACTTTTGCTTTTCTTAAAAAAAATGTTGCTCTAAACATCACATATAGGAATAAAAGGGCTTCTAAGTGACAAACAGCTGGTAGTTTATTTCCAAAGTTGTGAAGAGATAGATGACAGTTTTCTGGAGAGATTGAAATCCGACAATGCAGCCTGGCTTTATCAGTGGAAAATGTTTGTGTCATACATTGAATTGTGAATAATTTGTTTGCGATAAGACATTTATAGAGTACACTCCTCCCACACAGGTTCTCTGTAAAAGTCATGTCTAGACCGAAGTTTAACGTTGAGAGAAAAAAGCAACAGCGGCCCCAACCACACAGCTGATACAGCTCCCCCTCTTCTGCTACTACAGTCTCTCACACTTTGCAGGTCAGCCAGCGCTGGAAGATAATGACTCACACATGTATGAGAAGCATTCACAAGGCCATATAAAAAAATCTGAGTCAAGGCCACCCGGGATTTGACAGATAATATGTTTACTTACTTAAACCTTAAACCCTGGACCGTTAGTACAGTCTCCACTCAAAATGTTTTACAGTTAAACAAAACTCACAGTGCATGCCAAGGAAAAATGAGTTTGAGGCTCACTGAATCTACACACCCACCTGTGTACAAACACACACATACAGAGAGAAAGAGAGAGTCCTGCCACAATACGTTTTCACCAGTCATTACTCCCAGGTCTGGGGTTGGAAAGTGAGTCAGGCAATCTGCCACTGACACCCCCCACCCCCCACCCCCCCCCCTCCCCCCACCCCCCAGCGGCCCCCACTGCCACTTCCTCCCCAGTTTACAAATATACAAATCTGTGGGTGTTTTCAAGAGCTGCTTCTTCGAACAGATACAGCTGAAGGGAAAGCGCAACAGGGACTGCGTGAGAGAAAAACGTATGACACACACATACACACACACACACACACACACACACACACACACACACACACACCAAAGCTTCAAAGAGTGATGAGGCTCTTGTACAAGGGCATGTCCGCAAGCACACTTGTCACCATGGTGATGAATTAAAAACATTCATCTGTAGCATTACAGTGAATAAGCATGCTGATCTGAATGTCTGGAATGCACATTATGCACCTTCCTCATAAAAGTCCTAAATGTAATACTGCTGCTACACTGCAAAACCAATTTTACAGCATGAACAATTTGGTGGCTCACTAACATTTAATGTGTCACTATGCTAAGAAAAAAAAAAACCCTTCTCTACAGTGTGACTCATGTGGTTGGACTGAGTTGGTGTGACTTTCAATGCTACTGAGACCACTCAGCAAAGGTTCGAGCAGCAGCTCCACCTGACAAAGCAGGAAGTGAGTTCACTCGAGCTACATACCAGCTTGAGGAAAGGCTTGAGACAACCAGCAGACTTTTCAATCATTTTCTGTTTATTTTTTTATATTGTGCAGATTATTTGTACATGAATACAGCAGAATTAAAGCAGTCTTGTCACTAAAGGAATAAATAAATAATGTGCAGTATGCATTAAAGCAAGAATGAAAAGAAATGTGCAAGGTTACATTATGTTTTTTATTTTAGCATGATGCTTATGCTTATACTCAGTAGCAATATGAAAATGAGAAAAACTGATCTATGTGAATATACAAGTGAGCATATTAAAAGTGCCTGATTTGTTACACCACACCTCTCTTCCTGGTTATGGACCTGCTCTTACATTACAAAGAGAATCATTATTAATCCCTGAGAAGATTCTATGACATGTCTTATCCACTATTTATTCTTATTCCAAACTTTCAGATTCGAAGCTGATAATGATGGTGATAATGATCAATGTGATGTTTAGATCATATATGCACCAAAGATGTTCTCATAGGATTTGTTTCGATCAATCTTTGTGGTGTTGTTGACTGTCACATAAAGAGCGTCATCTTTGTCGAGGTGAAACACTCCACTCAGGTAACTGTTGGATCGTGCTGTGCTCGACTTTGGGGAGTATGTCCTGGACTGCAGGAGGGGGATGCTTCCCCCTGTGTACTTTACAGTATGCCTAGTGATGGTATGGTAAAAATTTCCACTGTCTTTGAAGAGAATCTTTGAATAGACATAGTAATAACCCTCCTTCTGAATGATGAGACCGCCATCTTTGTAGGTCATTTCATAGAGGAGAGGGTCTGCAATCATACTCCATGCCATGATATCTTGTTTATGAACTACATCTTGTCCATCTGAAAAAAAAAAAAACACGACAACAGCAACAATGTGAAGTCTGATAACTTTAAAACAGACATCATAAATTCGCCCTTGTGAAAGTAATTTTAATATTTTCTGCCTTGTTAATATACTGAAAATGAAAATTATGGTGATGGATATGAGAACAACGCTGGTCTCACCTGTCAGATGTGCAACTGGTTTGGATGGAAGAATATTGTACCTGGGCCATATAGTGGGAGCATCATCACCTGTGTGAGGACCAGACACAGTGTCTCTAATGTGGATTAAGTAACTGAAGATATTTACCATTTGAGTAAAAAGTGTTGAGACATACCACTGATGATCTTAGAGGATGATGCTGAGTCAGCCTGCAATGCAAACAAAATAAAAAAACCTCTCAGTTGTGTGTACGTGTGTTTGTGAGCGTGCACATGCAGGTGCAATAACTACTGGTGGATAGGAGACAAAGCTGTGGAAATAAGATGTAAAAGGCTACAATCTCACCATGTGCAAGCAGATCTTCTCAAAGTTCTCCACATCATAAAAATCTACATTGCAATTAAGGGCCACTTATGTTTTTTCTATGGTTTTATCTTTCTGCATATGAAAATAGGACAGGTCTGTGTTTCTGGTAATGAGCAAAAGGTAGATAACACAGGAAATAGACCACTTCCTTTGCTTCACCATCCCCTGCTTCTAAAGTACGTACATACCCTTGTTTGCAAAACAGTGTCAGACCAAGAACTTTATGTCCCCCCACCCCCCACTGCCATGACGGCTGCCTTCACACTGTGCATCAGACAAGGATGGGAAACTGAGTCACAGACATACGGGAAAAGCACTGACCATCCAGCATCATGGGATATGAATCCTGCATGCCCCTGCCCCTTGGGGACGTCAGCTGAGTTCTTCATAAATGGGCCGGACATTAAATGTACTTCTCCATCTCTACTCCACTTTCTTCCCCATAATAGTGAAATAATTTCATCGTCAGCAGTTTTCAGAGGAAAACAATCATTCATATTTTTGTTTCTGTCACGAGGGTCCTTTGGGTTTACTGATGACTTTGCTTCACAAAGCAGATAATTGTTGCATAAAAAGAAGTCCTGAGGTGCGGGCCTGCTTTTGTTTGACAATATGCTGAAGACATGATTTTTTGCCCCCACCAAAACTCCATCGTGACAATATGGGAAAATCTGATCGAAAACTGACTCCTGAATAGAAAATATTTCCATTTTGATTATAGAAGTATAGCAGCAAAGCAGAGCACACAGTTTCCTACAGATAGCATATGACTCTATGAAATACAGACATGAAAAATGGTCACTGTACTTGTATTTCTTCCTTGTACTGTATATTTAATTAATAAAACTCACAATGTTGAAATTTTTACAGCTGTAAAGTAACTTTCTCATCACCAGCACAGTTTTTCCTACTATTTCATGACATCCTTTTATATTCCATGGTCACTCATTTTAGTATTTTGCAATTTTTACCTTAACATTTACCGCAATAGTGTCAATATAAATTTAATTTACTTTGAGTAATCACGTTTGTGCATGAAAATAAATACACAATCCTCAGGAAAATAAAGAGTTAGAGAGTTCTGGGTAGAGCGTGACTGAAAAAAGTAAGAGTAAGAGTAAGAAAAAAAAAAGGGAAAGTTGAAAGTGAAAATGAGCTGTTAAAACTGAATGAACTGAATTAGAGCTTATGAGAGCAGTGACATTCAAAATGTAATGAAAGAAAAAGGAATAACTGTGACATTCATTTTTTAGGAAAGCACGAGGATGGAATAGAAAGTAGAGAGCGGATACTCACAGATTCAAGTTGGTAGAGACTGTAGATGAGGCAGGCTTCTATGGCCATGCCACACAACGCCAGGCTCACCAGCAGGAACAGCAGGGTCTGTGCTGCCCCAGCACGCTGTTTCTTTTGTCCCAGCCTGGGTGGTAATGGAGGCCTCGTGGCGTGGCTGTCCACCACAAACACAGAGGGATGCTCATTTTTGGACATACCTACAGTGCTCTGTCTGTGAAAGAAGAAAAAAGTGTGTAAATATCCTCCAGAAGTTGTAAAAAGGTACAGCTTCAAAGGGGACCGTGGAGACTTGAGACCCAAGAGACAGAGGAGTGTGAAGAAGTAGCAAAATGGGTGGGCTCACTTGCGGTTGGTTCAAGTAGTGATGGCTCACGAGTAGTCAGATACAGAACAGACTCAGATACTGTATAGAAACCTTGAAATGTATCACACCTTTGGAGGCCGTCAGAGATGCACCTGTCTGCACTCAGCAACTGCAAACAAGAAAATCAAACTGTGGCTAATGTTAATTTTTCACACACAGATGCAGAACCTGACCGCCGATCAGTCAAGGTAGACGGCAACAAGTGGGAGACACAGCAAAACGCATTTAAGCTCCCCTTTACACCCTCCCACTTTACTGTAAGAGCAATGTTGAAATAACACCATTCACACTTCCTCTCTTGCTTACACACTATCTGTGGCTTGTCTCATGGTCTGATGACAACAGCTACAGTCCAAAATGTATTTCATGATTCAAATTTTAACCACTTATCATTTGTTATGCAAAAAGTTTAACTTTATGCTTTGTTGCAGGGGACAGTGCAGAGCTGTGAGTCATATGTGGTGGGCTCAGTTTGGTGAATTCTCTCACGATACATTTTAGGGTGTAAGTGCTAAGCTTATATAAAACAGATTATTCACCTCCCAAAAGAATTGCGTTTTTGTGTGATAGATGGAAGTGAACATGACATTTGTGGCTACAGACCTGTGTTAGAGGTTCTTTCTGCTGTCTGAGCAGGAGTGAAGGCTTTGAAAGAGGTGGATGCTTACATGTCACAATACTTTTTATAATGTATTTGAGAAGTAATGCGTCGCTTCTGTTAACCCTGTTTCTCACCTGGACTCTTCTGACACCAAATGGATAAATAATTAGGATCATCTTGGTCCAACTTCTAAACATTTGGGTGACATTTGATAAAGTTGGGACTGCATGGTTGTAGCCTATATGGTCAGATCAATGTAGGGGTACAAGGTCATAAGGCCAAATGAACTGAACTAAACACACATGATGTGATGTCACCTGACCTGACCTCCAAGTATTGTGGTGGCAAACTGAAGAGGACAGATACTCTGTTGTTGATTTCTGATCATCTATTAGATTTGTTCTTCATAGATAAAAAAACAAAAACAAAACACATACAAACATGATATTTTTGTGAAACCCTGTCACTGACACATGTACCAATACCTACAACCATGTCAAGGCTATGGCCAGGATTTAATATGCTTTTATCCACAGCTCCACCTATAGGATGTACAGGACATGACAAGGCTACATATGTTAGAAGGTATTATTGCAGTTCAGAAAAAGAACATTTTTTATACTTATTCACAAAAAGCAAAAGTATAAATTTGTATGAAAAGTTTTAAAACTGTGATGAAACCTTGAAAAAATAAAAGATGTACTTTTGCAGGGCACCTTGGTATCTTCTGCTTCTCAGTTTTGCATGTGGACCTCTATTGGTCGACAGAGATAGTGACTCAACTCATTTGGCTTTGATCAAGGAAGCAGTCGCTATCAGTGGCTCTTCTCCACAGTAGGAGAGAAAGTAACATACAGAGAAGTTGTTTTATTGTGCACTTGTAACATAAGAGTTGGTCAAAGTGGAATAAATGGACTATGCACTGTGTCCGGAGGACGATGGATCAGGATGTGTCTGCACAGCTGTGTTTGCTGGCTTGTTTCATTCTGACTGTGGACTTGACTTTGGGTTTGGGGTCAAATCAAGACATGCAATTTACATTTCTGTTACCTGCTGGCAGCACTGAGTGTTTTTACCAAACCACCATGAGTAACGACAGCATGGAAGTTGAATACCAGGTGAATAAACATTTCTCTCTATCTTTCTCTCTTGTCTGTCTTGTACAGTGACAGTGTAATGTTGAGTCTGAAGTTTTGAAAAGCTTTATTAAAGTTTGTGAATCATGTCTAACTGAAAAACAAGTGAACAGACTGTGGACTTTGTTCCTGCATGCAGAGAGATAAGGGCCTCCACTGCTGCTGTTGCTGAAGACGCCTGAGATAAGACTTAGAAAAGCCCAAAAGTATTGTAATATCTGCTTCCACCCACATTGCAAAAACACGTTTTAAAAGTATTTAATATCCATTAGAGAACAAGCACAAATATGTATTTACATGATGATATTGTAAGTGCAAGAAAAAAAAAGGTGGCAAAGCAAAATTAATTTCAAATAAATGTCATGCAAAAAATACACATACGCACTTTTTCAAACATACAGCTTCAAATTCAAAAGCACACTTGTCTTGAAGTCACTCATAATGTGTTACCGGCCTTGAGTGACTTTATGGTCATGACCTTTGCTTTGCTACCATCACACCATAGTCTGTGTAGGTGTAAAGTCACAGTCGAGTCGGAGAGGAGCCTGTGGGATCACTGGGGCATCGTCACCTGTGCAGCTGACACATGACGCTCCCAAGGCAGCTGCGCGGATGTGGAGGTCTGATTCTGTATCTCCCGCTGCTTCATGATGTGGAACTGCACTTTTAGACACAACACGCCGACACCAGGCCTATTGCAGCCACACACAAAAAAAGAACCAACAAAAACAAAAAAACAAAACAAAAACAAACCACTTCTTCTACTAGACTAGAAGACTAAGTGAGGGCAGTGGTGAAATAAATATTTTCTAGACTCAGACACTGAAACTGTTCCACTATTATCACCGTGTGAGCTAGGTTGCTGCTCGGCGCACTATCAGGGCTTTAATTTAAATTTCAGACAGCCATTTGCCCACATATTCCGATTAAAGCTAGAGCTGTGAGCTGAACGTCTCGAATGAAAATGAGAAGATAACAGTGGATAGGAGAATTGAATTCTAGGTAAGCTGAATATTCTGCATGACTGACCTCTGTCCTCGTGTGTTAACCTCTCTCACAGGTGATAGCCGGGTCAGGCCTGGATGTCGGCTTTGCCCTCATCTCACCCAGCGGACACCGATTGGTCTCTGACTTCAGGAAATCTGACGGCATGCACATGTGGGTCACATAAATGCTTTTCAGCAACTGCCTCCTTTTGATGTGATGCTCAGACCCTGCCATACTCTTTGTTTGTATTGAAACCAATTAACCAGAAAGTGGAATCAGGCATTAAGGAAGTTCACATCCCTGTAGTGAAATAAGGGAGTTGATTTCAGATCTGTTGTGTACATGTATTTTCACCAAGATTTTGTGATTACACTATTATTCTGTCATATCTTAACAGTGAGTAGTTTGAACCATGATATTGTTGAAAGCAAGTGAAATTCAGAAAGTTTCTAAAATTTCACACCAGTTTTTTTTTTTTTTTTTTTCCCGCAGGGTGGATCCCACAGAGGATGGAGACTACCGGCTGTGTTTCGACAACAGCTTCAGTAAGCTGTCAGAGAAGATGGTGTTTTTTGAGGTGATCATTAACAGTCAGAGCAGCACAGGTAGAGGCAGAGAGGAGTGGGCAGACATGGCCGCCACAGAGGGCATGGCGGAGTACAAACTGGAGGACATCAGGGTGAGAGGGAAACACAAAGAGCTATTACATCTGCTGCAGCTATGATTTCCCTCCAAACAGCACTTGAATTATCTGAAGCCATTCTTTTTGATATCTCTCTCTCTCTCTCTTTCATCTCCTCCTCTCTGCTGTTCTTTTCTTCCTCCTCCAGGCCAGGATGGAGTTTGTTTACCAGCAACTGGAGAGGAGCCGCCAGGTCCAGACTGTGCTGCGGGCCTTTGAGGCGAGGGACCGCTACCTTCTGGAGGACAACCTGTGGCGGGTGTCCTTCTGGTCCTGCCTCAACCTGCTTGTCATGCTCACTGTGGCCGTCACACAGATCTACACCCTGCGGCGCCTCTTTGACGACACCAAGCGGACCCGCACATAGAGGCAACAGAACTGTTTGTTTAAGCTCCAGCCAACAGAGTGCAGAGAGTGTGTTTTGCACTAAACCCTCCACTAACATGGGCCCTGTGAGCTGAATTTAAAAGGATAGTTCACACTTTTGATTCATCATGCACTGGGAACTTTTTATTTGTAGGCACAAAGTGCTTGGTTGAATCTTTTATGAATTCCAGTTATACACACAGACACATGCACACACACACACACACATTACCCTCAGCACTGATATTTGTTTATAGTGTCAGCTAGAAAACCGAAGCTGTTCTCACTGTAATGTTGTTTTATTGAATTTCAGTTATTACATTTTACATTGTCATTTATGCTTTATCAAACCAGAAGCTATAGCAAAACCAAATAATATTAGAAACCTTGCCTCATACAGTAAAAAAAGATTTTTTCTTTGGATGCAATTGCACTTTGTGGTTAAGAACATACATAACGCAGTAGACAAGATTTATTGTGCATTCAGATCACTACCACTCTTTTGTCTCACACTAGGCCTATTGTGGAACTTGCTGGGACCGCTCAGCTTCCTGAGCCATCGTTTACATTTTTTTGTCATAAATCAAGCACTTGAAAGGCATTTTTCTTTGTCATCACAGAACAGATGCTCCAATAATAAATTCTCATGTTGACATGCTCCTGTCTTGGCTCTGTATCAGGTCATTTATCCCTGAAAGTTAACGCATCTTCGTCTTCTGGGGAACTTTGTGGTAAAGGAAATGGGAACTATCTGCATTGGATTTATGTGTTAAATTATAGTTCACTTTAGTGCTAAGAACTACTGTATATAACATTCACTATAGGAAAAAATAACTTACTTTGGTTTAATGCCTCAGTAATTAATAATGCACATCTCACTGACAGTACTGAAGTGGGCCTGTAACAACATTGCTGGAGTTTTTTTGAGTGAATTTGAAATAAGATATGTAGTTCTGCTGTAGTCCTGCTGTTGTCATGGATCGAAGTCATTTCGCGTCCACTGCGAGCCGGTCGAGGTCACCACTGGTTTCGGCGGGGGGGCGGGCGCCTGTTCAGGAACAATCAGCCAATGTTAATGTCTTAACCATGCACTCTGACAGGTAACGCTACAGGATCCAGTCATCAGAGCAGCAAGGGCAATTGTAATGAGGCCGTCTCTGTTAGTGAGAGGGCTTAGAGAGACCATCCACAACTCTCCCTGGATGGTTAGATGAGATACATAATTTATTAATGCAGTAAGTCAAAGGGAAATACATTTAAGATTGCCTTTTGCAACATTTTATACTGGGGGAGATTTGAGCCCACACAGAGCTTCTTATTAGATGTTTGGAAACATGAGATAAACCTTTTGTACACTGCCTGTAATATAAAATATTCAACCATCTTACAAGTTGTTACATTTTACTGCTGAACAACATTGAATTAAAGCTGATATATTTTCACTTTGACATCAGAAGGTCTTTTCCTGTTGATCAGTGTCAAAAGTCACATTAAGTCCACTTTGATTCAGTGCTGTAAAGGGAACGTGAAGACTTCCAAAGTGGGTGAATTCTTTGCAGTGAAAATGTTGATTGAATCAACCCATGGACAGCCACAAGTCTACTACTACTACGACGACAAAGTGTTCATTCTTAAGTTCATCACTTTACATATGTCGAAAGTGCATGTGCTGAGCAACAGTAACCATTGTATAAGTATAAGCAATGCCTCTCTGCAGCGGGCTGCCTGACAGTAGAGGGTTGCCATGGGAACAGGTAGTGGTTTATGTCAGTCTGTATTGGTTTTAGATGTAGAGAGAGAGAGAGGCAAGTGAGGAGAGGAAACCCAGGAGGGGCTCGACTTCATCAGGGGGAGGGGGAGAGACAGAGAGAGAGAGAGGATCACACAGGACACAAGGAGACACCAACCACCAGAGCCAGTCCCTTTATTGTACACAACACCTCTTTATTTACTCTCCTTTCTAAATTAGTTCATTTTGTTTATTCAAATCAATTAAATGCTACAGAGGCACTTGACAAGGGTTTGCAAAACAAAAGAAAAGAGATTTTTGCAGGTTGATTCCCAACCCCTTCCACCAGATCCAAACAGGGGAGGGAAAGAGGAAGGAGGCAGGGTACAACCTAATGAATTACAGGGCATTTACAGTTGGGGCTTCTCAAGGGCAGGCTGAAGTGACAGGTACAGGCGATTTGGCCAATAAGAACTTACATATTGAAATGAAATATTATATTTTGTCTGGAAGCTTTAATGTGAATTCTATTTAATACAAAGATTTAGATTAATTTTTTTCTGTCTGGCGCTGTCACTGAAAGCCACACCTTATGAGAAATGCAGGGAAAGAAAAAGCACATTCTGTCTCAAGAGTCTGTGGTTTGGGATTTTTGAATTTTCTACTTCTTTTGTCTTGTCATGTTGGCTCATTAAGTTCCTATCCTCTGTGGTGAGAAAGGCGAAAAGTCGAGACAGCTTCTCAAGACAGGATGTGCATTCATACACCACAACTCCCACCACCCGCTCACCATTTCTACTGATCAAACCAAAACTTGAAAACATCCAAGTAACCCAACGTCACTCCCCGCCTGACCAGTTTTCCCCTGAACACCTAAAAATATTCCAGAAAAATTGGTTTTAAATGGTCAAAAGAGCAATCAAAAGATATTATCAAATAATCACAGCTGTGTATGTTCAGCCCCAAGTGCCCTCCCAACATACACCACATTTACACAGCTAATCCCTGTAGCAGAACCCCAATTAACAGTCCAGTAGAAGCTGGGGGGCATATAGTTATACAGAGGTGATACAACTGCAGCCAAAAACATTTAAAGAAATAACAAATGCCCAGGTTATAAATAATGCATCAGGAGATGACCAATCTCTTTTTCCCTACATCCAAAGCTAATGAAACGACAGTGTTAGTGCTTCCTTTAATCACACCTAAAGTTGGATTTTAACATGTTGGGCTTTGATTATAATTCCATGTTTTTGTTGTCACCCCTGTGATTAAATGAAATACAAGTGCTAATTCCCCGGTATAGGCCAGCTATATACAATGATATTTTTAAAGGCATGGAAGCAGAACTGATAGCAATAATAAATGTCCTGGACAACTGAGCCCAGAAAGAGATGTGCCAACTCCTCAATGCTTAATACCATCTTTATTCTCTACATCACAGATCCGTCCTAATCTACACACCCCACTGCTTCGCTGAGTTTTATCCTCTCTGAGAGGAAAATGTACTGTGTGCTGTGTTCTATATGAATCAGCTAATCCAGGAATGAACAAAGTCTACCCGAAGGCTGAAGGCCTCATTGGGGTTCAACTGAGACTAAAGGGATTCAAATTCAAGGCTTTAACAACTTGGAATTAGTGGAGAGAAAGCTTCCCGCAAAGTGCAGACAGCCTTCAGTCTGTCTCTCTCTCCCTCTCCTGGGTTTTCGTGCAAAGTGTTCTGGTAACGGACTACAACATCCCCGTTATGAGTGGCTTGTTGTAAGGCTAGATGGGTAACAAGTGCTAGGATTATAATGGTCAATCTGGCTGACATCTTTCTTCATCTCATTGTGGAAGGATATTTTACAGAGGGGGGAACTGAAGCTACTCTCTCAGTCTCATACAACCCTGCCCTGTGTCTTTTTATGCTTTGTTTTTTGCTGAGATTAGGATTTCATTTTTAAAGCTACATTTGTGACGGTCATTAAAAAGGACAAAGTCACTCAAATAAAATATCACAAGGGGGAAAAAATGTAATTGACACCACCAAAATAACAACAGTGATAATAAGCTATTGTTTTTCAGTATGAAATCAGTTAGGAAATGAAAACCAAGTAAAACATTATCAACAGGTTAAGTGTGTATATTACACAGTGATCTACACTTGGGCGTCTGGGCCAATCTAAAAAGGTGGAGGGAGGGGAGAGGAAAGCCAGCCTGTAACAGTTATTAAGTTATTTAATGGGCTTCTGGCAAGAACTTGTCAGAGGAAATAAACCAGTTATTACAATTAAGAAAAAAAAGCTCTTGGACTGAATTCGATACATCGTCTCCTACTGATAGAAGCTAATGCACCCTCTGATCAGCTGGGTTTTATTTTGTATTACACATTTCCACAGCAGTCAAATGTAATATTCAAGTGGTTAAGGGCTTTCTTTCATTCATGTGCACTGATAAAGAGGGTATTAGCAGCTTATTAACATTGCTTGAATAGACATTAATACAGCTGAACGGTGCACATTATGCACCGCTATCAGTCAGCCCCTCCCCTCAAGCCCCCGCCCTACAGTGTGCAGATACACACACCCACACACAAACACACACACATTGGTGGGCTTTGCCACAGGTCTAGTCTAGCAGGGAGGGCTCAGCAGGGCGGATAATGGTGGGCCGGTGAGAAGGAGCGCCGGGGGGTCTTCGGCTGCAACGGGGAGAGAAGATATAGAACAAGGAGTGAGACGTGCTCACAAAGAGAAACTAAAACAACCCGACGGAGGGAAAATAGGGAAGTTGGGGACAGAGGGAGAGTGGCAGAGAGAGAACTAAGAGTGAGAGGACAATGAATGCAAAGAAATGATACTGAATGTAGAGATAGGAGAACTGGTGAGTGTGAGAAATAACAAACAATGCCTGTGACTCTTGAAAGACAGAGGATGATGAGATGTTAGTGACAAAACGTTACTAATGCAATAAAACTACAGTAAAAACACATAAAACAATGGTTATCACATCATAAAAGAAAGTCGTACCTGGGTACACCGGGTGGGACACGGGCTGGCCGGGAGGGGATCTGTGGGGGTGCACTGAAGGGATCCTGGCTGCTGTTGTAGGCGTTGATGGGTTGGCCTGGGCGAGAGGGGATTGGTGGTGCACCAAAGGCGGGAGAGGGGTTGAGCGGAACTCCAAAGGCGGGGGAAGGGTTCATGGGTGGTCCTGGTGTTGCGCCCCGAACAGTAGGCGGACGGCTGGGAGGCGGGCCTGTTGACGGAGGCGGCCTACGCTGAGGGGTTGGGCTGAGAGGAGAATATGCAAAAATGAAACTGACATTGTGACAATCACAGAAAAGGTCTCATTTATTCTCATTTTATCTGTGCCCACTCTGGGAAGACTCAGGAGTTGTTTGTTGCTCTATTTTTTCTTTTTTTTTTTTAAATTCAGGTAGGCACACTACTACTAGGTGAAAAATATGTCTATTTCTCACTGTTTTTAATTTCATATGAAAAGTCTGCTCACTGTCTGAAATTGGATATGTCTTTATATTCAGTACTTTCCTGCTGTTACGTCTAAAATGCCCGTTACCCCTCTCACCTGGCTTCTTGGATCCAGGTGTCATTTACAGGCGGGGGTACAGGGGTGGAGATGGTGTTGGCGCTGATGTCACCTATAATGTGCAGCGCCTCCTTGAGTGCATGATACATGCGCAACATTTCGTCTCTACGCTGGGCCTGGTCAGCTGACTCCTCCATGAGGCTGTTCTGATCCCCAGATGAGTAGAGGTAGGCCAGCAGCTCCGAGTGGATGAAATCCTTCGCCTGAATGGAAGTTTAGATTATTAAAAATAAAAAGGTGGTGGCAATTTACTTCAATTAACACAGAGAATTTTTAGACGTGGAGCAGCACTAGCCAGAAATGAAATGATCACAAGCTAGAGATGGGTAAGGGGGGGGCGCTACTTAACCCCAAGAGAAAGAATAGTTTATAGATTGGAGAGACAATCGAAGAAATATTGGTTGAGACAGTGTGTGTGTGTGTGTGTGTGTGTGTGTGTGTGTGTGTGTGTGTGTGTGTGTGTGTGTGTAGCTGTAAGACATCAAGTGAGCTCACTGGAATAATAAAACATAATAAATGGACAGTGGCCAAGGCTCTGTGAGCATGCATCATAAACTCTGTTAATTAGTGTCTTCAAGTTTATGACCTTGTGTTAACATGAAATATACGACCGACACCGCTACAAAAATGTACAGGAAAACTAAACACTATTCTTCACAGCTCTATGGTGCAATGACATTTAGACCTAATTACAGAGCAGTTAATTTGAGCTTAGTTCAGTCCACTGGTTTATCAGGTACCCTGAGTGTTTTTCTGAGTAATATAGGAATGTAGGGTGCTACATTTGCTGGAATACAGCTCCGTGAAGTATTACAATATTAACTCTTTCGGTCAAGCAAAGCACTGCAAAATTGGGATGTTCACATTTTCAGTGTCAAGGTAGAGATCCAGCAGGCAGCAGAGCACACAGGCTTCATTGTGAGAGGATAAACCGTGTTAAGGTAATGGACTCAGATGAACTCTTTCACTTTAAGTCTGTTTCAGAACCCGCAGAAACTCTGTTAATGGCTTGTGTCTCGTTGCTACGGACTCACACTGTTGATCATGAGATGCATGATGGTCTTGGGCACAAGGTCTCTGATGGATTTGTTGATGATGCCGATGTACGAATCCACCAAGTTGCGGATGGTTTCCACCTGACGCTCCAACTGGGGGTCCATAGAGAATGTATCTGCAGGAGCAGCCTCTTCATTCTCTGTCTGATGACAATGACACACACAGGCATCAAAAATGTAGCATAAATATACTCATACATACATCTTTGTAGTTGTTGCAATTAACGAGGCAATATTAACCAATTCATGGCTTTTAATGAAACACAAAGTAGCACCCACATACCTGGTCCTTCTCCGGATAAACCCCTGCCCTGAGGAAGGATGCTTTCCAGCTGTCCACATCCTCTTGAGAATCACACGCCAGTTCTATTTGGCGAAGGTCCTTGTACACGTTCCTGCAAAGATAAACAATAGAGAACACAAACACGTGTGAGTGTGTAGGCTAACCCAGTAGACAAGGATATTCATGCACAAAAAAGCAGAAAGATAAGGTCGTTGTGCATTCAGACTGGTTGAAAAACATAACTCTGACCTTTGTTCTGTGTTAAAGATTGCAAAGATGTGCTTTGTGGACATAAATCCTTTCTCCACATCTCTAATCTTCAGGTTATCCAAAGGCAGCATATACTTCTTTTCTTTTTCCTATCAAGAGACACACAGAAGAAATGTTTATTTACAGCTGACGCATAAAAAAAAAAAAAACCCACTGAAACCTGAAACATGTAGAGAAGCTTTATCTTCACAGAGTGAGTTTATATTATAGTAATGGAGAAGAAAACAGAGGACAGCAGTTTTGACACTTCTCCACCAATGAGTAGATACAATGGAATTCATTTCCTCTGTGTGGACGACCACCAAGCTGGTGAGATGGAGAAATATATGATGACGGAGAGGAGGAGGAGGAGGAGGAGGAGGAGGAGAGGAAGAAGAGGAGGAGCATGAGGGATGTCTGGGGGGGATGGGGTGCCAGCTTTCACTGTTAAGCAGAGACATCTGGAAGCATTTATGTCCGCACTAACACAGAGCGGCGCAGGCCCAACAGTTACATCACTCACAGTTCCACACAATCCCCTGCCCCCCACCACATGCGCACGCACACACACACGCACGCGTGCACACACACACACGCGTGCGCGCACACACACACACACACACACACACAGGGCCAAATACTTAACGGCACGTGCAAAGACAAACAAACATACATGAGCCTGAACGAACTGAAGAAACACGTATCATGAGATTTGGGTGTGTGCATAAACACGCACTCATATAGACATAGACAACCACTAAAAGATACAAGAAGACTCATGTGGACAAGCGCCTACACACATGCACTCTTGCGCACACACACACACACGCACACACGCACAATATCACACCCCCCCTCCGGCCCCCGTAACCCAGTACGATTTCCTGCAAATTCCAAAGTCAGATCCCGGCTGGAACATTTCAGCCCGCCTGCCACGTCAGTTTGCCTCCACCATCCTCCCTCTCTCGTTCTTTCTTTCTCTTTGCTTTTTCCGACCGCTGTAAAAATTTACCATTTCCAGTTAGCGTTTGGGCACACTGAGGCCACTGGACTGGAGTTCATCTTTGGCAGTGGTTTGTGGTGCTATCTTTTAGTGGTCTTTTTATTTCGCAGAGGAATGGCTCTGATTGAGGCCTTGGGAAGAAGATCAAGCGGTGAGTAAGGACATTACAATGCTATTAATGCTTCTTATGCAGTTATCATCATTGGAGGTAAATGTTCAATTTAGTTAAATCAGTCTTTATAATTTTGCCTAAAATGAAATTATCAGTGAAACCGGATCATTTGATTTTAGATCACGTAAACTTTATCCATCACTGCATGTCTTTTGTACTGAATGTTACTCTCCATGTCCTCGAATAGAACCATTAAAAAGTCTATAATAAAAACAAGCAGCTAAGTTTGCTGATTGTACTGTAGTTATTTAGTAAAGGGGGAATACAGTTCAACCATGTCTAGATTTAATTACCTGAATGATTTGAAAGTAATCTCATAAAGGTTATATTTTTCATGTTAAGCTTTATATGTTTAATAAGATAAAAAGTCTTGCAGTTTTAAAAGTATTTGCCTTAATATAGCAGCCGTTTCCATGTACATGGCTTTTTTCATATGTGCAGTTGTTTCACTGAGGTAATGTTTGCTCTCTCTGTCCTCTGTACTACTGTCCTAGGGTAGCGACCTGCAGCTGCAATGACCTCAGGGTCCTTCCTCCTATCTGAGTCCTAACCCCCCCGCCTGCCCAGTGTTCAGACTACCTGTTCATCAGGCTACAGCTGAACAGTAGTCTGCACATTGGTTAGGCTGGGCTGGGACGCACACACCTCAAAACTACAGTGGCTGATGGCACCAAACCTCCACTTGGGATAGTTCATCCCAGCGGTGCCAAAGACAGTATGTTCATCTTTATGCATTCCTGTGGTGCTGTGTCATCTATCTTAGTCCAGTGAAATGCAGCATTGGAACAGAAACTCGTCTCACCTCCTCATCTTTGTACCAGGACAGGGACTCAGCAGTCAGGACAAACCAGTACTCCTTGGAGCCTCCCTTCATGATGCTGATGTTGATGGTTAGCCAGCCTTTCCTAATCACCTGCACAGGGGGGAGACCGTGTGGAAGAAAGAGAAGGGTGGTAGGGAGAGAGGGGTACCAGGAGGATGGAGGAAAACAGCTTTATCAATCAGGTTTACGCACTGGTGACATGAGGGCCCCATTAAGTGTTGCACCATTAATACTGCGGTGTGACTGACACTAATTAAATCTTACCTGCTTACCTGCTAAGTCACTTTGAATTTGGTTGTTTTTCTTTTATCCTTTTTATCTTAAGATTAAACATTTTTACATCTCAGTCGAACATTACTTAAAAATGCACTACAACACAGAAGCATGGATTAACGGTGAAACTTAATGAGTAAAAAGCACGGAGTGACCATAGAACAGTCATACAAGTACACAGTATGTGTGTTAAATTGCTAAATGTGTGCAGAAGCATCAGAAGGTTTCAATGAAAACACTGAAGATTCTTTTTCACTAAACAGAAAAGAATCTTAAAACCAACAAACAGGACCAGATGGTGTCCAGACCATGCAAGCCCCAACACAGAGTCTGAGACAAAGGTCGGCGGTGGTATGTTAGTGTCAGTGGGTCAGTAAAAGCTAACCTATGTTAATGGGGTTATTAAGTTAAGCATACGCGGGTATACACGAGAGGGGTTAAATACCTGGATGAGTAAAAGATGGGGAGAAGTGACTGTTAAAGACAGGGGTAAAGGAGGAGAAAAGAAGTGCAATCAAAGAGAATAAATGCGGAGGCTAGTAGTCTGATAGAGTTAGCAGGGTTCATGGAGGGACAGAAAACTACACAGCAAAGTGAGAATTTGAAGTGGAGAGTTGGAGAGGGAGGAAATACATCAGTCTGAGGCCGGGTTGAGTGAATCACTCTAAAGAAAATAAGCCATGCATTTTAGAGGAGCCCTATTCACAACTGTCTCTCCATTTTTTTTTTTTTTTTTTTTTTTTTCGAATAGACGCTCAGGCATTTCAAGTACAATAGGGGGAACTATCTGTGAGAAGTGTGCTCTTGTGCTAATGAAAGCTAAGTAGAAATGTCAATTTCAAAGCCTGCTTTAGACCTCTCTCGTGAACTCCCTCTCCATCCAGCAGAGGACTGGAGTGAGTTATGGAGAAAAAAAAAAGGTTCATTAGTTCAAAAGTGCCAACATAAACATGGGAGAGGAGGCAAGCGCATAGAAGCTAAACTGGTAGTTTGCCTTGGCGAGGAAATAACTTTAAAGTTTTCAGAAACAAGGAGTTTCAAATCCCCTATATTCAAGTCAGTTGGAATTATTATAACCAAGTTGACATTAAGAAAGAGGAAATGACATGAGTTTTACAGATTAGATGCTTATGTGATGCTTTTTCTGTCACTGCCAGTGTAAGACAACTGTGATATAATGTTCAATCTGTTTCTGTAAATGTAAGTGATGCTGTGGTTAATTAAAGTTGTTAGATTACATCTGAGATTAACTCCATGGTTTCAAATTGTTGAAATGAAAATGATCTGAATGAAAGGTGTCAATTTAACTTTGCCTTGATAGTCAGTGAGTTACAATTAAAATAAATGACACTAACAAAGAATTTTGATTTAAACAATGAAATACATCCCAAAGCCATGGACCAGTCACCATATTAAATGATAAGAAATTTTGATCAGCTCTGAGTACAAGAATATCAATTAGAGACTTGGAGACAGTGATTTTTTGTAACAAAGAGAAGTTGGATATGAACTTAGTACTTCCAAAGGAAAAGTATTTCAACATGCATTTAATCTAAAGAGAAAAAAGAAACACTACAAATTAAAAGAAAAATTTAAGGAATCATAAAATTATGCGTTTTGTGTGTTTTTTTGATTTGATCGCTCCCCACTCCCTCCCCATTTTCTCCCCAGTGACATTTAGGATGATTCTCACAAGGCAAACTTTCGAGTCACCATGCATGAGGCAGCAGCAGAGGTATAAAACCAGAGACAAGTCAGAACTGATGCCGTCCACAGTTGGTGGTGGGTGGAAGATTTGCCTGTATCTCTCTGTGGTTTTCTCATGGAGAACAAATAGCAGTTCTACAAAAGAATCTTTATATGTCATTTTACATATTTTATGGGGTAAAAAAGTAAAATGTTAGTAGCAACACAGATGTACAATTGAAGACAATTACTGTCGTATTAAAATGAAACCAAGGATTACGAGACCAAATGTGTCAGGTGTTACTGTGAAGACAGTCCAAATTACTGGTAACTGCTTGCTAGAATTGTAATTGATATCACTTTGATCAGTCTGGAGACTCTACCTTCTCCTCGTGGACCTCTCCCAGTGCGCCAAGCTGCAGGGGGGTAGAAGATCTTATTATGGTGAAGGATATCGACTCCTTTACTTGCAGGAGTCAAATGTTTATCCTGTTTACTCACAGCAGTCTCTTTTCCACCCTAACCATATTGGCTGACCTGTGTGTGATGGCCTCAGTTCTTCTGCATGGCCTACCACTGCTGCCCCCTGGCAGGGTGTGGTTTAAATCTGTGGGGTACTTACCAGAATCTCACCCTGCAGTAATAGGAAGGGTAGGGGGAATTAAAGCAAAGGGGGGCAGTATAAAATCATAGCCAACAGAGATGAGAAAGCAAGCAAGCAAAGATGAGGGACAGATGAGAAGTAGGAGGAGGGGGACAGGAACAGGGTGACAGGTGGAAGGTTGGAAAGAAAGAACAGGTTGGAAAAAAAGGGGGCGAAATTGTAAGAATGAAAGGTTTGAGGGAGGAAAAACAGTAGGAAGCAGGAAATCCATGAGACAACCAGAGAAAATACAGATGAAGAGCAGCAGAAAAGAGAAAGACAAAGACAAAGAGAGGTAGAGAGGGAGGGAGAGAGACAGACAGACAGACAGAGCAAGAGAGTTACATGCAATTAGAATTACTTCAAGTATACCACAATTTGGTTATGTCATATTTGTAGCTCAGTCGATAGGTGCGATGTCCATGCACATTCTGAATTTCAATACAAAAGATGCTTGTGAGTTAATGGGTAGGCAACAAAACAATCAACACAACTCTGTGATTAATTGTTGCTTTGCTGTAGAACAACATGCCTGGGTCACATGCAAACGGCAATTAATAACAGCCATGGAAACAAACGCTCGTTTCAGAGAAGCAGGGAAGCAGGGTCTTCTTTAAGTTCACTAAGGTAACTCTCCCCTCACTGAGACTGCAATCTCAAAAAAGCCGATTAGCAGTATTATAATCGTTTTTCAAGATCTAACAAATGCACAATGAAACTCAACAAACTTTGTTTAAATGTGAGTCTGGATAAAACAGAAAAGGAGAAATACCATCTTCACAACATTGACTGGGTAAAATCAGTAGTCAAAATAATGTACAGGGGATTTGTTATTATATTATTAACCATTAGATAGGTCAGGATAGATTAAAGGCTGTGGGCTAAATAATTGCCAGAGTCAGTTTTATTCACATGGTTGATTAATAGGCAAGTTAAGGGAGGCATCGGTCAGGGGAGATTAAATCTGGGATTGAGCTGAGTGATGAAACGTACCTGGTTGGGTATGGCCCTCTTTTTGTTAGCAGCAGTGTTCCTCTGCTGGGCGCTGTTCACACAGAGATGGACAGAAAGATAATAAATATTGATGACACCACACCAAAACAACCTGTTTGAAAAATTCACACTTAATATTCATGTGGCACTTCCGTCTCAATAATATTCTGATTATTTTCAACATGTTTTACAGCCTTTAGTCTTTTATGTAAATCACCTGTCTGGTTTAAACAAGTGCAAATTCAAGATTTTGTATGCTATAATTGTTATTATTATATTACTGTATTACTACACACGTAGTGTGAAGGTGAAGAGGTGAGAGTGAATCTTGACAATAAAAGCTGTCTCTCACAAACATACTGTGCACACAACCCTATATCGTTTCTTTCAGCCCACCTGTTGTTGCCGTACCCTGGGGGGCTACCATCATCCAGCCTTCTGTAGTCAAGACTGAAAGTGATGTCATGAGAACTGTTACCTCCGACACATTACAGCAATCCACTTGCCATGCAGAGGCTCGGCATAAACCCTCACACACGCACACACGGCAGTTTGCGTTATTACTTAGTCAATGGGACGACCCACACAAGTGGGGGGGGGCTCCACCCAACTACATGCTACTATAACCACTACACTAGGGACTACATGAATTAAACCACGAACTCTAAACCGCTTAGAGATATAGCACAAAAAAACCCCAAAAAAACAGTGAGTGCTTTGCAGTGTGCAAATGAATTTCCACCAGCAGCTACTAGTAAATGCAGCGACACATTAGCACCGTGGATCTTGTGGTGTGCAAGCTGGTTACTGTCCACTGGTACAGTAAACATTCTTTCTAGTGGCAGCCGAACAGCCTGTAGTAGACGGGAAGTTTATCAGTTTATCTATTGAGCAATCAGCCATGCTTGATTGACTTTGTTTGTAGGGGGAAGTGATATTGCTGCATGCATGGGGGGAGAGGTAGGCAAATAATGATTATTGTAGTGTCTAACTCCCCTGCAGGGAGATGCTCATGCTCTGATGTGGCTGGATCACTAACTGGCATGCTACATCACACTGATGCACCTCAGCTTACATGTGGCTAATTATAAGCAACACTTTGATTCAGTGGCAGTGAAGTGGCGGGGGTTCTGTCAAGTTTTTGAAACAGCAGCTGGGTTCCACATGTACTGATGGCTGAGAGTTACAGGATTACCAAGCCTTTCTTTTGTAAAATCTACAGAATCACAAGTGCACCTCTGACAACAGGCAACATGTTGTTAATCAGGAACACAATGCCTGTGCCGAGACTGAGGTTGCCAGCAACAAGCTGTAAGTTGGCCTAGAAAAGGTGAGGAGAGGAGGGGTACATACTTAGCAAAGCCTATGAAGTCCTCATGGTTGGTGTTGATGTAGGACAGCTCAATGTCAATCAGCAGCAGAACCTTAATTAGAGGCAGAAAATCATGATTAGGATGGAGAGGTCTCAATTAAACACCGCTTACAGACAGTCTCATTTCTGATATTTCACACTTGTGAAACGAAAGTAACCATGACAGATAACGTCAAAAATCATATTTAAAAATAGCTTGACTAATTACTTTCCACTATCTTCTATATCATCAGCGCTGCAAATTGCAACTGTGGTGGAGCTGAGAGTACGTTTTTACTCAAGTTTCAGTTCATTTAACCTGCTTCACTTCCTGCCTGGTAGAGCAGTTACCAAACCTAACACTCTCATTAGTCTTGGTTTGTGTTGACTAAATGCTTCTCCACCCCAACGAGAGTGAGGTTCTGAAATGAACACATAACACATTTTGGAAGATGATTAATTCCTCTTCTTGTCACGTCTTGAAGTCATTGAGTGACCTTAATTTTATAGCTGCAAACTGTTGTCTGTCATTTACTGTACCTATCAGAAGATTTTGCGGTGTTGATGGTGTTGCTGACATTGTCAACTTATCCAGAAACAAACTGAGTAAATCATAGAATAACTATTTTCCTATCATGACCCAGAATTGTGCTTAGCTGTGATGTTATAACAATGACTAAACACAGAACAGGCCGATAACAATCTGTTCAAAACAACTTCTTTTGTTTCAACTCATCTCATCATACTATGCAGAACTGAGGCCTCATTATGGACTTTTTCAATAACATATAGGGCTTTATTTAATTTTCTCAAGCTTGCAGAATTTTAGGAAGTTTTGAGATCTACAAAAAAAAATCTTGGATGATACATACAATAGGAAGCAAAAGCAAGAAATAAAGGCTTATCAATACATGACATGATGCTGTAAAATTAAACAAAAGTTCATCCAATAATATATTTTACAGCTTATAATGTACAATTTATGCTTGATTTGTGGGCTTAAGAGTCTGCAAACATTCACACAATTGAAGAAAAATATTTAATATTTTGTTTATGCTCTGCTGGTAAGCTAGCGTGCTGAAATGATACCATTACTGGTAAAGAATTGCAAGAGGACTGTCCAGCTCTGTCCAACAATGGCTTTATGAGGTTTTACCGTTCTCCATTTCATAAATGCTAAAGCAAAGCTTATCTGATGCTTGGAAGGATCACACCATGCACATGTTTTTTGTCCTAATGTTGCAGATGGAGGATCAGCATATGAGACTGACAATCCCAGATGACACATTATTAAATATCAACGATAGATGTTCAGGTGACAGTTGCCAACTTCACCTAATGTTGCATCTTGTCATATTCTCCTTCCCCACTTGAACGATAACTTGGGAGGGCGAGCTCTATCCCGTCATCGTCTCCACATCATATAGGAGTGGAGCTACATATGAATTGAAGACAGTAGCTCCTACTTATTTTCTCTGCATATGAAAAACATTAACATGAAAGGTTGACCTGTGTTCACTCAGCGTGCAGAGCCACTGGTCTTTATAATCAACATCCTAGCAACTCACCTGGTCCTTGGTCTTCCCTTCTCTTTCTCTGACGTGGGTGGTGACAATCCTCTCAGTTTCCTCTCTCAGTCTGGGGTAAGAATTGAGCTGAAAAGCAACACAAAACACAGCTGCAGCACTGAACGCAGAAACGCACACGCACACACACTTACATATGAGCTTGAGCTTAGTAAGACTTATCAATAAGTATCAGAGAGAAACAGGTGTGAGAAGTGAGAATAAGTAAAGGACAAAGAAAAGGGAAAGAGATAGTCAAGTGACATTTCAGTGTCACACATAACAACTACAAACCAGCACGCACACACATCAGACTTTAAATACACAGTGATTGCTCTACAAGGGAGTAAGCCATTTACCATCAGCCAGGGATGACTTCATGAAAAAAGAATCAATGTGGTAGAGCTGCAAGTTTGTCGTTGTTTTTAGAATATCAAAAGAGGAACTGATTATATTTTAAATAAACTGAGGAATGACTAACTTTGAAGAAATGTCGAAACATTTACAACTGTCACCTGTAGCTGATGGTAGAGCTTTAGTAGTATTTCAGATTAGTGAAGACTGGATGAGAAGGGAAAAGTGACAGAATGAGGTGAGTCAGAGGTAAACCTGAGAGACAAAGGGGAAGAATGGCTGGAATACGGAGTCGATGTTGAATCATTTCATGGTGTGCAGCGCTTTTCTCTGTCCACAAGATGGCAGTGGAGCACCGTTGCTATGGAAACACTTCATTCAAGCAGCTACTGCATCCACAGAGCCCACTAATAGTTCTATAAGTATCGTCTCACCCGCCCATCACATCACTCCCTTTCCGTCCGGTTAATAAGATAAGTGAATGTGAGTCTGCCGTGTGGGTCAGTGAGGGAGTGTAGCCGGGCTTTGCTCCGCCGAGACTGACAGACCAGGCGGGGTTTTGGGCAAGGATAGAGGGAGGATGCATTGTGGAGGTGGGAAAAAAACAAACATTTTAATGAGCTGATTCTGGGGTCAAACATCATGTGGGGGCTGGCTGGTGGAAATTTTAAGTTGTGCTTAAAATTTCAGATGTGATTTCTAAGTTGATGCTCAATCTGAATGGTATGGAGACTTCCAGAAGTGGGAAGGGAGTAGGGATGGGACAATACACACATTTGAGTCACTGGCGATGGATGGTGTAGTGACAATGGGGATTGGGGCTGATTTCACTGGGGTGACCATTGTATTGGGATGACAGATACATATTTAGAGAGAAAAGGAAGCCCTTGTCTTTTCATGCTATCATCCCAACAGGTGTGTCCCTGGTTACCTTAACAGCACACTTCATGACGAGTGCGGTGAGTTCGCACACCACAAGGTCCACACATTTGAGGCTGGGCTCTTTGAGTTTGAGGATCTGCTTTTTGACTATCGCCTCGAAAGCCAGGTCAGGGGTGAAGAGCCCCGTTCTGAAGGGTCATGGGGTCAGATTGCATTTGGTTGTGGTTGCAGAGAGAGGAGGAGACAGACATTAAGAAAAGAAGAGAAAGAGGACAGGCAGGAAGGAGAAAGAGAAGAAATAAAAAAGAGAAAAAGTCCTTGTTCAGTTAGTCATTTATAGTTGCTGACAGAAAAATCAAGCAGTGGGGAGGGACAAGCCACAGGTTTTTCACATCCTCATCCCTGACTAGCCAGTTCCTCTAAAGCTAGGTCAATATGGTAGAAACTGAAGTCACCTCCAACTCGAGGCCAAATTACATTTTACAGCTCCTGTTTTACTGGCTGTGTGTACTGAGCTGTGAGACCTGCAGCTTGTCCAGGAGAGACCAGAGATGCTCAGACAGGTCGAGTCCCTGAAACATCTCATATCCACGACGACACGCCACCCGTCACAACACTCCACAACACGACAGCGCTGCCTGCACACAGGGCACACGGGGCTGGGATGGGCTGAGGGCGAACCGCACAGAATGTTCTCTTTCTTTAAATGCAAGAACTAAACTGATGAGTAGAGATGTTAATGGGAACCTGGCAGCTAATACTCTGTGTCAGAATACCCTCTGCCACACCCATGGTTGCCCCTGCCCTATGTCTCGGCTGGGTCGGGAGATGCTGGACACCTGCAGTACCTTGTTGGTGCACTGCCTGACTGTGTTGATGAGCTCCTGAATGACCAGATCGATACATTTGAGACAGGGCGTTTTCAGCTTAACGATCTGCTTTTTCACGATGGCCTCAAACGCCAGGTCTGGAGTGAACAGCCCCGTTCTGAGGATTCACAGAGAGACAGAGGCACAGTGGCAGACAGATGGGACAGTTAACACACATGTAGGCCAAAAAAAAAAAAAAAAAACATGAATAGACGATGATTGGGTTCACAAAAAGACAAACCGGTGACTGAAGAGATTTGAGGTTATGGACAAAGGGAAAGAAACAGATAATCAACACACTGACGGCCACAATATGGGGATTAAAGATAAAGCGCCAGAGATGGCCAGGTGTAAATGTAATTAAGCACACAGCCACAAAGGAGATATGACAGACAGAGGAGTATCAATGAGGAACACACAAGAACAAAAACCCGGTGGACAAAGATACATGTAACACAAAACCTCGTAATAATTGAATGCTTGAGCAGACAGAAACAGAAAAGGAGTGGGTGGTGTTGCAGTGAGGAGATAAGGGGATCGGAAGAACAATGAAGGGAAGTAGCAGAGAGAAAAATATTGACATACAGCAGAAAACACTTTGTGAATACACCACACTGAACTGATACTTTTAGTTTGTGATTGTAAGGCTCGATTATAAATACTTGAATTATAGTAGAATAAAAGCTTTGATGGAGGGAGAAAGGCAAAGCATGCTGGTACAGGAGTATCTCATGTAAAGACTGAATACAGAGGTCCACTGAGCTCTGTGGGTGTCTGTTTTTCTGAAGTCGGGTAGGTTTTTCCGTCTCTACTCCACTTGCCTGACACCATGGACGTTCTTGATCGCGTGACTGATTTCTCGCCTTAGCTCCTTCTCATCAAACACAATCTGGGTGACAGGGGGAGAAGATGCATATGATAATTGATGATGATAACAGATCTAGCAACTGTTTAATCTTTGGGAATACTCCTACAGCCAAAACACTTTGCTCTTCATGACACACTAACCTTGACCAGTTCAAAGGGAAAGCGTTCATGGAAGAGGCGGTTGATCTTGGCGCCACCTGAAAGCTCGTTGGTGTCCACCTGGTCCCCGGAGCCCTCAATGCACTTCTCAAAGTCCACACCAAACTGCTGCACCATCCTGATAAGGATGAAGCACAAAAGACATGACAGCCAGTGTGAATAATCTCCTTGCAGCTACAGCAAGAGCTATCCTGGAAACGACAGTGATGCTACAGCATCAGTAAAATGTTTATTTCAGGTCATCGCATGATAGTTACTGATCTTATCTTGGCGGTTTTCCCTTTACTCTGAAACACAATGAGTGATATGTGAGAAGTTTCACCTCAGTTAACCTCAATACAAAAATGCATTTAAGCTTCATTAGTAACTAAAAGCAAAGCCATTAATGTTAATATTACCTCTACACACAAAATGAATACTATTACTTTAAGGAAAGTGATATACTTCACAGTCAACAGCATAAAATCATTAAACAATATTCTATACTGCTAAGACTGAGAGTCCTGACTTGCAAATCTCAGGCACAGTTGCCCTGTGCATTGGGCATCCAGTATGTCTGTCACATGTGCGTCAACCACCAGCTATCAACTGTAAATACTATATGTATGCTGCATCTTTTATGAGGAGGGATTTTCAGATACACTCACTGCAACAAAGCCTTGGTCTTGCGTGTCGGGTCATCTGGACGGAAGTTCTTGTACTCCTCCACCTCCTTCTCCAGGGAGAGGAGCTGACTCTGCAGCTTACTGCGCAGACCAGGCAGGGTGTCTCTGATGTGGTTGGTCAATTGCTAAAGACAGACAAAGGACTGTTAAAGACATGGCAGGGAGGGGGGGTTATATTTTACAATTGAAAATTAAACAAAAATAGAGAGGTGATAGCAGACCTGGTTGAGTGTCTTTTGTAGATGTGGCGTGCCCATACGCTCCGCCATATGTCTGTAGGCAGGGTGGGACAGGAAGAACTTCCTCTCTGCGGCCAATGCAGCACGAATGTCCTTCTTCCCATCAATGTCTTTCTGACTGCGGTTCACCACACCGATGTAGCCTGCACACAGAGACACAGTCACTCAGCGGTAAAGCCTGTAAGTGCGTCTTTGTGTGGGTGTGTGCGTGATCCTCACCTCTACGCAGTGGCAACAGTTTATTTTCAAGGATGTCCTTTGCATCCGTTCCTTCATCCATCAGGTCCAATTTTGTTATAACACCAATGGTACGCATACCTGCATAAAATTATAAACAGTAACTCCATCACTTCAAACACCTCGCATCATCTTTTGTTTCCTACTACATGTATTACAGAAGAATACAGACAGAGAGGACAGCTAAAGAGATTCAGCATTGAATCTGCTCTCTGACCCACAAACTACTAGAAAGCTGCACAGGTACCCTGTGGGTCCACCTCCTTGGCGATCTTCAGAGCGTCTGAGTTGGCCAGGTCAGTGTTGGCAGGGGTGACGGCCAGGATCAGACAACTCTCCTTAGTGATGAATTGCATCAGCATGTCCCTGATCTGTTGCTCGATGTCATGGGGCTGGTCTCCGACAGCAACCTTAGTCATTCCCGGGAGGTCGATCAGGGTCAGGTTGAGCACTAAACCACATGGACAAAAGTCATAAAAATGAGAAATGAAACCACGAAAGCATTTTCTACACATCTAAACAATATATCATTACTCATTCAGGTAATGTGTTTCCATTTTTCCCCCAGAGAAAGCTATTTATTGCCTTTTTAATTTGACACATCATTTACTTGATACAGCATTTGAATGGAATGGAAACTAAGGTAGTAATGTGATGTGAGACCAATAAATGCTTGATTAATCAAGAGCATTCTCAATGAAAGGGCAATCACTGTGTTAAGAAAAAGCAGCCTCTTCATAGTGTTGTTCATATGTTCTTTTACATAGCAAGCTAAAGTTAAATACAGTCCTGTGCTTTGTGTCAACTTCATTTTCCCTCCTATTAAAACACCAACAGATATCTACCCTATCACCCTCAATGTAACATGTTAATGCCGTCTGTGATGGGAAGGGAAGCTTTCATCTTGTTTACAAAGATATTTTTGCTGTTGTAAAACTGGGTCTAATTTTACCCCATCAAATAGTCAACATCCTTATTACTTACAAGTGTTAAATCTACTGAAAGAAACAAATATGAAAATGTCAAAATTTGACTGTGAATTCCCAATGACGGCTCCAATAAGGAGATGAATAGATGTTTGTGACAGTCATTCAGTGAACATCACAATACTGACTTTTAGCTTTTACTAAAAACAACACTGGTCCAAACCACAACAAAAGGCTCTCATTTTGTAAACAGCTCTGTCGCTCTGTTTGGGCTATACAGATAAAATTGCGGTAGAAGTATGATGATAACAATATACACAATTAGATTTTCTTGAAATTCGATAGGGAAATTGTTTATGGATAAAATAGACAAAATGACCAAAGGTGGAGTTATGAATCTAAGACATTAGAGGAATACATATGATAAACAGTGAATCTCTGATGGTTGACAAATCTATATCGTCTCATGATAAATATGGTTATACAACATGAAAAATGACGTAGAGGCCAAGGAGAACAAAGTGATTATGTAAAGGTGTTTTACAATAAGACTGTCTATTACCGTGTGGGGAGTAGACTCTCAGGTTAATTGGGACGGGAGAGATGCCTTTGTTGGAGCCTGTTATCCTGTCTGTCTCCGCCTCAATTTCCGCCCGCACTTCATCAAAATCCACAAACTTCTTCCCCTTGCAATGCAGGAATTCAGCATATTCTACACAAACAGGGACAAGATGAAGCACAGGAAGGGAGGGTAGAGGGAGAGAAAAGGACAAAGGGGAAGAAATAGCAGGGAAGAGAGAGAAAAAAGAGAATATTAAATTAAAGAGATGAAGGCAGCAAATAGCAGACAGGGTGCGTAGCTTGAGGCACTGTGACAGAGAGGCCATATACAGGGCAGTGATGAAAGGAGACAGGGATGTGGCTGTGCACAGGACAGGCACACTCACCTGCTTTATTGTTGACCAGCTGCAAAATGAGAGGTCTGCGGGTAACAATGCCTGATCCACGTGGAAGAAAGTCCCTAAGTAAGAGAGACAGACAGAGGAGGAGGGAGAAAATCAAACAACGGGATTGTTGGGAGTAAAAAGGGGGGATATGTCAGGTAAAACACGGGGAGTTCAGTGCAAAGAAAACAACAGAAAGATAGAGAGACAGAAAAAAGAGAAAGAGACAGGGAGAATGTTCAATTATTCATTACATTTAATGTCCATTTCCTCGCAGCGTGCCCTCTAGTTAATTGATGGGCACAGGGGAATTTCACGCCCCCAACTTGTTTCATAACAAATCAAATGTGGCAAAGTCATTTTCTCTCACCATTAGAGCTATAAAGATCAATTCATACACTCCCACTCTTGGTGTTATGGGGAAAATCCCTAAAATATAATTCACAGATGTTACATCTACCTCATTCTACACCTCAGTTGACTTTTAATTCATGAATTTGAACAAATCTCTTCTCATGTTCAAACAGACTGTGATGATAATGTTATCCAAGGACAAATCCTAGAGCTGCTGCTCCACAGACAATGAATAATGGAACAACTACTAGCACACTGACAGCACCCGTGGTGATTTCACTAGGATATAAATACATTTTTTGACGGCCTACATTCAGTCGACACTCATTTTGATATAATAGCTCAAACAAAAGCTACAGGATCACAGACTCAAAATGTCACTTCATGTCATTGTCAGTCTTGATGAAAAGATCTCAGATTGGGGAGGAGGAAAAGCACAATATAAATTTGTTTCAGGGTGGACTTAATGATGCTGTAATGTGGTGTTTTTCAATAGATGAACTTGTTCTGTGCTTAACAATTAAGGTGCTCAATTTACTGCCTATGTAAAGGACAGGTGAGGCCAATGGCTTCAGCTGCCACTTTTAGCTTTTGTGTGAACCTAGGCTGTGTCAATACCAGAGATATCCATGCCATCCATACCCATGATAACGGCTTAACCACAATAGAATCAGGCCTGACACTTGTCACTGCTTTGCTATGTGGACATTCTCACCCACAAACATGAATAATGCTTAGTAATTGCACAAGGTGATGCGTTGCCCAAAACAGGAAATGACAGTAAACAAACAATGGAAAATGCTATTGGTGCAATAGAGCATTATTGAGACACTAGCCTACAGGAAATCTCACAATTGGCTTGTGTGTTGCTTTGAAGGTGACATGGTACCTGAGGAATTTTTCACCACATGCTCAAAAGTTGCTTAGTCAGCCCTCAGACCAGGCTCCTCCACCCAGTCTTTTGCACTCCCCTCCCATTCGGGTGGGCCCCTCTGCTGCTCTGCAAACATGCTACATCTGGTGGTAATCACCAGCCCTAGTCCTGGAACAATCTTAGCAGGGATGAGCATGTCACTAACCCACATTCTCCTTTTCTTCCCTGCTGCCAGACCTACAGGCCTGAGGGGACTATGTTGGTGCTCAGTCGGCCTGCTGACTTCAGACTGGAAGCAATATGTCAGCCACAGGACAGGAGAAAGGAGAGGAGCTGCTATATAACATACTGCCAGCTATTCCTAGGTTGTAGTCCTGTGGTGAAACAGTGCGGAACATTCTGGATGTTCCTTGCATCAGCAAAAATCCACAGGTCTGTGGTTCAGTGCTGGTGCTGTGTCATGCACATAATGTGGAGCATGCAGGCATTTGTTCACAGGGGCGACAGTATAGAAAGCCCTGGATGAGAAATGGGAGCATGGGAGCGAGGGACATAAAACACAAAGCCACTATAGGCTGAGGGAAAGGACAGACAAATTAGACTGGATGTGGAGAATGGTGGTAAGATGCTCAGAGCAATGACCTCTTCAAGACACTGCTAATGTATTGATGCATCTCTCCAGTTATAGGTGACTCACTGGGTTTCCAGCAATCAAATGCCATCTCACTGGCTCAACAAGTGGTCACTGGTCAGATACACAGCAATAAAATATAGTGCCAATAAAGGTTACGTGAAAACACATACAAAGAAATTGTTAAAAAAGAAAGTACTTTTGCAGAGACACAACGCAGGGACAGAATTGAAACAGTCAGTCCTAATACACAGAATTGGATAAACAGCAGTGGCATATTGAAAGGAAGCAAGAGGCCAGGATTCCATTATTGATGCCCTGTAAATGATAGACGAGGCTGAGCAGATTGTGTATCATTTCATGCATTATGGATGGCCAAGCAAAGAGCATCAGTCTGTGAGCCTCCCTCCATCTAAGACAAGAGAAAGCAAAAGCAAAGGAGAGTAGAGCAGGGGGAGAACAAGAGAGCCAACGCCCCTCCCCCTACCTGCCTGCCCAACAGCCTCCATCTATTACAAACTGGCAGAACAACTCTGAGGAGCCATACCCCACAGCTGATCCTCCTTTTCATCTAGTCTACAGAGGCCTGGCAGGGGTTTTCAAACATGGACACCAGTGTGTGAAACTCTGGGGTCATAGTATGCTCTCACTGGAGGGTATAGTACACAAAAACGTGTTTGTGGTTTTGTGGGACATATCCTGTGGGTCTGTGGTGCGGCAACGAACATATAATTATGGCTACCCACATTCCCGCACCTAAGTCTGTCACTGTGGGTACCAAGAGGCATCACTAGACAGCAAAGCCTCTTCAAGCACTTCCAAAATCCAGCTGCTTAGTAGAAAATCCCTTTGCTTTCTGCCACTCAGCTGTTTGTACTTCTTCCTCACAGGGATGTCCACAGTGCTGCATGCACATATCCAGACCTGCAGACATTTCTGTTTAAATTCCTTTATATATCCATGCTGCCATCATGGAGTAAGTCTGCTGCTACAGAGTGAGGCTGTCACATTTAATTCATGGTCAAGGATAAACTTTTCATCTATCTATCTATCTATCTAGTACAGCTTTAAAATTACGACAACTGTTCCACACACTCCTGGTCTTTCTGTACTTTACTTGCAACAGATCTGATAACAACCTCCGCCCTGGCCAGCTTGCAGTGCTAGATATGACGTCTCTCTTCTGGGACAAAGACTTCAGTTAATCATGATCCAAAACGTGTGTTAAACCATAGACAAGTCAGTAAAATAACACTGAAGAGTAAAGCTGAATGTAAATCAGCATTTAAGTTTACTAATTTCAAGTTCTTGCCACTAGCAGCAATAATTTTCATCATCTTTTAACCTTTTATGAATCTGATTTTACATTATTTTGGTGTCAAACACTCTGACTTAATGCTTGTTCACATAATATACAGACAATTTTAGTGTATATAATGTATTTGGTATATGTTCAATGTGTCAGCAAAACCTAAGGTCCCTTAGTGGGTTGGCTTGATGCAAATCTAAACAAGGCAACAACACATAACACACCCACACCCTACCAAAAGACAGAACATTCACAAATATATGAGGCCATTGAGCCAGAGTGATTTGATTAGCTTCTCTCCAGCAAAGTATGCAGACCAGGCAACCAACGTGTTCTGGTCTCCAGTAACAAATATGGAGGGAACGGCGGCCCAAATCACATCAACAAGATGGGTCACACAGAACAGGGGCAATCTAAAACCCGCCTGACATGGGTGGGATGAAAATCTGAATTGTGTCAACTGTGAGACAGTAACTACACAGCAAATACAGTCTTCCCCTAATTTCCCCTTTCACTCCATAGCAGATATACAGATTATAATGGCCGACAATTTGCCAGTGAAAGAGAGTGAAGCAGTACGTTAAGTCACTTGGCACCCATCAGATCATGACATCAGCATGGAATTCAGGCGGGAGACAGAAAAGGAGGAGCATTTACGCTCTGTGAATCATACAGTCTATGACCTGAAGTGCGTCTCTTCCCAGCACTAACTCACTTTGTGTCTATTGTCATTGGTGCCACAAAAAGGGAAAGAGGGATTATTTTCATGCCTGGGGACACAGAGATGAAGCCAGCCTTTCACACACAACTACTGCTCACCAAGGAAAAAAAACTCAGCCACTTGGGAAACTGCAGAGCAACTTTTACTGACTTTAATAGTGGCTCAGTGCTCATGGTTAAAGTCTGTTGTCACAACAGAGAATTTGAAAATCAATTATCCTACAACACTTAACACTCATAGTTTTGTGTAATAAATTACATGGTAAAGGGTTTAGGTATTGGCTGCTCCTGAGCTCAAACAAACCCTTAGATCAACAATGAGTCAGCTTAACATGAACACGCCTGTTGCTATAGCAAAGTGCAGAAACTCCCATGCCCTTCCAGATTAAAGTAAGACTCGACCTTGTAGTTACGAGTTTGACTTCTACTGTTCCACCTTGTCAGCCCTAAAGTTCACCTGCACAGCAACAAGCATACAGATTAGCTGCTGTACTTTTTTATTGTGTGAAAAAGCCATGGTAAACATCAAAATGTACCACTCACATGTTCATAAAAGGATGAGCATGCACATGTTTAATCATGCCACAGCATATCAGTAAAGTGCATGTGTAATTTTTGAGCAAATGGATGTATGTCCTGTCAACTGGCAGAAAGTGGAAGGCCAGCACAGGCAGTGAAACTGAGGTCATCATGAAATGTTTCATGGTAATTACATCTGATGTGTGTCAAGTGTTCTCACATTGCAAAACCCCACTGATCTGAATTAATGTGCACTGAGTGGCAGTCTAATCTTCATGTGTGTTCTTGCCTGAGAGCAGTTATGACATGCTCTCGCCAATGTGTTTATAACCAAAGGCCTGTCTGCATGCCATCTTAATAGCCAATGCACTTCCTCTTCTCTGTCAGCTGGCCTGCGTGTATGTGTGTGATTGTTCGATCCCTATGTGGGTTGGGTTACACATACACACTGAGAGTCTCGATGGAAACCTGCTAAACAAGCTGCTTTAGAGCAAGCTTGGTTTGTTTCTTTATCTGCAGGGTGCTCTCATTCACTGCTGATGTGGGGGAAGACAACAGGACCAGCCTGTTGAGGACAACAGGACCAGCCTGTCTAGAAGCACTGTCGCTGAACCTTCACATCACAAAAAATGGAGAAATGCCAACCCCATTTCCTTGATTTCTACAAAAACAGTAACAAGAAGGCAAAAGAGGAAGATGGTAAAGGAAGTTGTGTCTGCTAAAGATGTGAGCTTGCATTGCTTGTCTGAATTTTTACAAGACACTGTGCTTTGAACTCAAATGTGGTGCATTATATAAACCCTTCTTGAGATAAAGTCAGCTGCAAAAATCCACGTCTCTAAGGAAAGGAGGTGACTCTCTCTACCCTACTAGCCCTCCAAATAACATATTTGTGCTCCCACATCAGACAGAATAAGCATGCTAATCAAACAACAAACTCTCATGTGACCCAACAAAACTCAAATCAACAGCTGCGAGCTGCAGACCAGGTAACATTTACTGGTGAATGCAAATCCTGTAGGACTTTCTGGGTGTGGCCTGTAAATATAAACAGCACCATATGAAAAAGGTTTCATTTAGAACTAAGGCCAAAAACTTGGATAGCAAAATAAGATAATCTGCACTATGTTTACTGAGAATAACATGCCACGATGTGAATTTACAGACACAAACCTTGATTTATGTCATTTTTATAAAGATCTTGGTTTGTCATGTTCAAAATGATAGGATATAAAGAGGGAGACTGTGACAACAGATATTTACTCACAGTTGAAAAAGGCATTAATATTGTGCAAAGTATTGGCAATGATCACAGAGACAATCCAAGAGCAAAGTGCATTTACTAATATCTTACTTTTATACCCATCATTGTTTGAAGATTGTCTTAAGTCCTGAGTGCACAGAACTTCATATATATCCATTTATATTAAGCTCCTAGGCTGGCCCACTGGTTAGCCACGTACAGGGCGAAATCTACGTCAAGTTGTTGAACCTGCAGCCACTCCACACTATCAAGCTTTACGACAAGTGCGTAAAATATTATTGACGTTACGTCCTGGTAGAGTAACTAACGTTAGTTTAGCCTTACGACAAATGGCATTTCCACACATATCTTACCTGCTGAACAGTCAAAAACATAGTTTGAGAATGCTACACCAGACAAACTATGTGATAATTGCAAAGCTTAACTTCATTAGCGTGACCATACTCACTTACCTGCCAACAAAATTTTCCAAGACTGAGCTTTTTCCAGCGCTCTGTCCACCGACCACAGCGATCTGAGGCAGGTCTAAATTGCAACTCTGGCCAATGGAGCTGAAAGCGTCTTGAAGCTTGTTGATAAGGGGAATCAGGTCTTCCATGCCCCGGTTCCCCATGGCTTCGTTAGCTCAGAGAGCCCCCTCAACACAACGCAGACCAGAGGCTAACGCTAGCCGCGCTATCTAGCTAGGTAACGTTAGCTTAGCAGCAAGGTGCTCTCGGGTTACTCTGCTGAGTTCCGCCGCTTCAAACAGCTCGGGCTTGTACTCCCTCTTGAACACTCAAGCTGTTACCGGTAATTCAACTCACACTAATAACATTTCGTATTCTCTTAAGCACAATTACTAAATACTCAATCAGTCGAGACGGACGGAAAACTCGCAAAACAAAACTTCCTCTACACAAACACCATCCGGTCAGAGGAGACGACCGGTGCGTATACACCCGCCTCTTGAGAAACCTGCGACCCTATTGGCTGATTCTACTGCCTCTCCACAAAACTAAGCCTCTGATTGGACAACTAAAAGGCGTGCCTTTCACTCTGATCAAATTGCTGATTTCAGATTGGTCAATGCAGCCGTCAATTTTCAGCTGTCTCGCGTCATATGTTCACTACAACATGGCTGCCATCGTAGAATGTGGAGCTGATTCAAATACTGCAGAAAACCACATGTCCCTAAAGAAAGCGCTGTCGGTTGCTTCTCCCCTTTCTCTGCGAATCATTGCTGAATGCTCAGTGACGAAAGCAAGAGCTTGTGATCTAATACTGCCACACTCCGCCGTCAGCACCCCGGTTTTCATGCCAGTCGGTACTCAGGGAACCCTGAAGGGAATCACTGTGGATCAGCTGGAGGGTCTTGGATGTCAGATTTGTCTGGGTAACACATACCACCTGGGCATGAGACCGGTAGGCGACACTACTAATATCAGTCCGCGTTTTCCTTATGATTTATTAGGCTTTAATAGTGGCTGTACCAATTCATGACATTTTCTTTAGTAAATGTGTTTTTCCATTTCAACTCCTCTGTATACAGGGACCTGATTTGATCGAGAAAGCCAATGGTTTACATGGGTTCATGAACTGGAAAAGAAATCTTTTAACTGTGAGTGTGACTTTCCTAAATAAATCAATCATAGATGATGAGTTGAAGGTAACAAGAGATTTTCGATGTTACAAGAGGTGCTGTTGTATTTTGTGGTGAAATCTTGTGTTTCACTTCCTCTTCATACAGGACAGTGGAGGTTTTCAGATGGTGTCTCTTGTTGAACTCTCAGAGGTCACTGAGGAAGGGGTCAAGTTCAAGTCCCCCTATGATGGAAAAGAGATCCTTTTAAGTCCTGAGAAATCCATCAGCATACAGAACAGTCTGGGTCAGTGTTACTGGACAAAGACATGGACCTTCCCTTCAGTTTCAAGTGGCTAACAGACAGCCTGTCCATGTTTCTCTGTGGTTTTCCAGGGTCGGACATCATGATGCAGCTGGATGATGTTGTCAGCAGTACTGTGACAGGACCACGGGTGGAGGAGGCCATGCACAGATCTATTCGCTGGCTGGACCGTTGCGTAGCAGCTAATAAAAATCCACACAAACAGAACCTTTTTGCCATCATACAGGGAGGGCTGAATGCAGACCTGCGCAAGGCTTGTCTAGATGGTAAAAAGTCCTGCTCTTCTGCGATCCTTTTACCATTTTGATCTTCTCCCTCAATCATCATAAACTGGAATTGACATGAATCCTGCATGGTTGGATCATATTTGGATAGAGTCTCAGCTCATATTTGAATGCCTTCAAAGTCAATTTATTTTAAATAGAAGAAAGTTTACACAAGATGTTTCTCCACTTCATATACCTATGAATGTAATCTTTTGCTTCTTGATCCTGATCAAACAGGTGGGTAGCTTGGATAATAACAATCTTTTTCAGTGTCAGGATATGATGAGGAATCCAGTAATGCCAAAATACTTACTGTCAAATTCAAAGGCCATAAGCATGGTCCAAAGATATTGGCAGAGAACTGCATTTTGTCAAGCACAACAGAAATTCATACACATAGTTTGACTGAGAGACACTAATGATAAGGGGTCAGACTTGCGCTTTAGATATCTTATCCCCTTCCTGTAGAAATGACTCGGCGTGATGTCCCTGGTTTTGCCATCGGAGGCCTGAGTGGAGGAGAGGAGAAGGATGACTTCTGGCGGATGGTCACGCTGAGCACTGACCACCTGCCAAGAGAAAAGCCTCGATACCTCATGGGTGTGGGGTATGTTTGCGCGTATGCAGTAAAACTTCCACTAAGAACTGCACTGTTGATTGGCTATGATGTTATTAATTGACATAAAAATTTGTGTGATCCTCACATGCTGCAGATATGCTGTGGATTTGGTGGTTTGTGTCGCTCTGGGATGTGACATGTTTGACTGCGTGTTCCCCACCCGCACCGCAGTAAGCTCTCTTTACCTCACAGACTGAAAAATCCCTTTTAACTGGTCATTGAGTAGTTGTGGTTACATATCAAGAACTGATTTCAGCTGTGATTCAGGCAATTATGTTTCTTTTCCCTCAGCGGTTTGGCTCTGCCTTGGTGCCTTGGGGTTCTCTCCAGGTAAAACATAAGCAGTATGCCAAGGACTTCCAGCCCATAGACCCAGACTGCCAGTGTCCCACCTGCAAGAGGTAAGTTGAAAACGTTCTCTCAACCTGGAGGTTTGGCTCACATAATAAGTCTTGTAGGTTGTTCCTCTTTGGTTTGTCTTTTCTTTTTTTTTTTATCACTACAGAAATATAGATGTATAAAGTACTGTAGAAGATATGTTGTAAAATGGTAGTTGTGGATGAAAGATGTAAATAATTGGCCTGTTTTTTGTTTCAGACACAGTCGAGCTTACCTGCATGCTCTGTTTAAGAGTGACACTGCAGCCATGCACCACATCACCATCCATAACATTGCTTACCAGGTGAGTGCTGGAGGCCATTTAGCAGAAAAGTTAATATAATTGCATGACTCCAAAATCAAGATTAATCAAAATAAAATAAAAAATCATTTAATTATGCATGTGAAAATACAGGAACAAAGTAGATTTTGTTGTACACATTTAACTCCTACTCTCCACCTTTTGCATTGCCGTGATGAGAGTGAAGTTTCTGTTTTATGCTGAAGGAAATAATATATAACATTCAAAATCCTTTATGAAGCTTATAATGGTCAGTGTTTGGTGACTTTGTCAGAAATGTGTAAATTCAATTATATTTTTTGCCACTTAGGTCGTAGTTGGTGGTGCTGCACTGACATTCCTTATATTGAGAGGGCAGAATGTTTGAAACGCCTCTCAATATAATGCAGTCCAGAACAACACATCAGCAGATATGCCCTCAATGACTTTATGGCAGAACAGTTGGACACATTACATTACATAATAATGATAATAAATTGTCCACTGAGTATGTTTTTATCCATTTCATTGTGAATTTAAAAAAACATTAAAACAATTTTATATTGTTCTATATTTACATTTTAAATTCATTTACTTCAAATTACCACAGTATTCTTTTTTTTTTGTGATTTTTTTAATTTGCTTTAAAAGAGCTGATAAATCCCAAAACTGCTCATATCCGCTATTTATTTATGAGTCCATTAGTTTCCTGTGTGTGTGCCACATATATGAAGTGTTTCATAATATGTGTCAGCATTTAATTTGTCTGACAGAAATATAACAACAAATGTTGAACTTTACAAGTGCATGATGCGTGATGTGATTTTTGTCTTCACCTCAGTCACATCAATTAAATCCTTCAAGACTCTCCGCACCCCAAAATGGCACAAATTTGCTTTGCTACTCTGGCATTATCAGAACAATGAAGAGTCTCCTTGTGTGACAGATCTGTCCCAGAAAATGTTCATGTTAAGAGGGTATAACAGATACTGTCTGTCCATGTCGGTTGGCCTGTTGGGCCTTCACTCTACCTCTTTGATCCAGAGTGAAACGTTACGACAAGTATTTTAACTGCCGTGAAACGTGTACATGTCACCTCTCAAATGTTGCCATGTCAACTAGTAGCATGTAAACACTTTAACTGTATACTCTGAGGATGCTGTCCTGACCTGTATCTGACCCGTACACACTGATGGTGCAGGAGAGAAGGGTGATTTTCCACCGGAGATCAGTCATCACATTATTTTCTCCTCAATTAATCAAACATCTCTCTTTGCAGCTCAACCTGATGCGCTCCGTGCGACAGAGCATAGTGGAAGGCCGCTTCCCTGAGTTCATACGGACGTTCATGAAGCGAATGTTTTCGTCTCGTGACCAGTACCCCAGCTGGGCTGTGGACGCTCTGGCCTCCGTCAATGTTACCCTGGAATAGAACTCAGAGGGAAACTATTTCACTCTGAATAGAGATAAATGTCAAACAGTGACTGAAAGATTTTTATATCTTTTAAATGACCTTTTTATGGATGATTGTTTTCTACTCTTTGTTGATGTTTGTATTTGCGCCGCCCGTTTTGTCGGCGGTGAGGAGAATGGCTTTGGATCGGAAGGGATGAAGCCTGATTGTCCTTTACGGCAACCTTCTTTACTCAGCCTCTGCAGATTGTCGTCAGAGTACACATTATGATAATGTGAGACTGAATGGGGTTAAAATGAGGTTTGAAACACATGAACCATCTCCTCCGATATGCTCAGACACTTTTTGTTGTTACCATGGTTACACAGCTAGGCCCACCCACTTGAAATGAAATGTTTTGCCTTCCTGTCAACATCTTTGTAGTGTTTTTTTTTTTTTTTTCTTTGTGACTGAGCGTGTTACAGAAGTATTTCATTTTGTCTAAATGCACAAGATTAATAAATGCATCTGTCCTCTGGGTTTTAATCTAGATCCTAACTGACCAGTAGTTGTCACGTAACTGTTTGATCAGATAAATGGACCTGGCTGGCTACAGATTGTGTGCCTGTGTCATGATGACCACCAGAGGGCAAAGTAGACGAAACCAGTGACAGTAACACAGAATGATATCCAGTGCATGTTTCCTAATGGCTCAAACAGCAGTTCAGCTGTCTCAGAGTTAAAATAACACATGATTACAGTTAGAATAGGAATATGAAAAACACTGACAACAAAATTATTCACAAACCAAATTCTGCATCTGTCTAAACAGTGTCAAATCATTCTTGACATCCATAGTCTGTTTTTCTTTTTCTTATCAGTTCAACAGGCAACAGTCCACTCTGACCCTCTGAGTGAGGGTTTTGTCCGGATATTACAGGGGTGCAAATTAATCAAGGCTCGTTTGTGCTCGATTAATATTAATCATTGGAAGTTAATTTGAATAACACCTGTTGTCCGGGGCTTTGAGTCAACAGCCCTCTCAAGCATCACATTTGAATTTCATTACTGCTTCTGTTATGACCACAGGCTCTACAAGATTAAACCCGTGACATGTGCTGAGTGGCAGACAGACTAATATCTAGCACAGCAGTGTAGCATAAATAGAAATGGTGAGTTTGGTGCATAATGAGAGTAGTTTACAAGTGGTTACAAGCTTAATTAAAAAAACATTCATGAGGGGAATTATGCAATGCAATGGTAATAGTGAGTCCATAGTGTGCTTTTTGTGCTTTTACATTATGATAACCCCCATTCACAGGAACTTCTATTTTTTGAATGTGATGACTGCATTGCTTGTATTGTGTTTTCCCTCGAATATGTGCTGCTTCCGCTGTGGGTTTTGATTATATTCAGCATATGGATGCTTAGACAAAAGCACTCAGAGCTCATTTGGCAAGCCGTGCAAAATCGTGTTAAGTGTCTGAAAATGAATGTGCACGACCAAAGCTTTGTGCTAAATAAATTGGATGTCCTCTCTATATATTTCAGGCAAGCCAATTCCCAGCATGCCACATGTGCTGCCTCCTTAAATTGACTGTAAAAAAAACTACATATTTAATAGAAGCCAAGTTGAAATAAGACCAACTGCAGCTCTATAGGCAGAAATAATAAAAAATACATTATTCCTCGTTGTAGACTCACGACTGAAATGCGCACAGGGCTCCACAGAAGTGTGATGGACATTTCTGGGGATCACGTGCGTATGTGTGATAGTTTTATTATCATTCATGTTTACAGTGAACAGTATGTTGTTCATGACGCAGCGCAGATGTTGATGGAGAACGCATATCATTTATTATTCTAGATATATTTTAAGAGTAATGTTTTTGTCATTGTTTCTTTTCTTTTGTTGTTATTACTATTAATCCTGAAATGAAAAGTCGTCGCAACAGTAAGCTACAGTATTCCTCAACGGTTGGTTAAACATTTGCAGTGAGTGCGTTCATGCGGAGCTCAGTCAGGGAGGATGCTGGTGTTGAGAGAGACCAACCAGTTGCTCTCCAGCTGTCACAGTAAAAGTGGAGCCTCCCCTACGCACCGACGGATGAACATCCTCGACCTGTTGCCTCGGCTGGAAGAAAAGTGAGAGCTGCATTGAGGACGGGTGCGAGAAAAGAGAGAAGTTGGTTTCTTCTGTTTAGGAGGGAGGTCGAAGACGATACCATGAGGTGTATCAATGTGTTCTTTATTAATCTACGTTTTGAATAGCAGAGGGAAGAGGAACGGAGCTGGATTTGGGGGGGTCCACCTCCTCGGTGTGGAGGTGCGGTTTGCCGTGATATCTGTCTCTGTCTCTGGGGTCTGAGGAGGAGGAGGACCATGGTCGAACTGGAGAAGGAGGTGCTCCCGCTGCCCCCTCGGTACCGGTTCCGAGACCTGTTGCTCGGGGACTGGCAGACCGACGACAGGTAAAGATGCAGCTACTTGCACCGTTTACGCACGGCGCACTGAAGCCTTTGCGCATCTGTGCGCCATGAGGACATCGTATCATCTTGTCTAAAAAGTACTCATTTGTTTTGCGTTTGCATTTTCTCTCCGTCATCTCATGGACTTAGGTATAATTATGTGTTGGGGTATTTTACTGTCAGCTGTGCAGTTCTGTAGGGGTGCTGCAGCAGGTTTACTAATACTGCATAATAATGCAATACTATCACACAAAAAGCAATACACTACTTAAACCCTATAAAGACAAAAAACAGTGAAAAGAGATCTAGAGACTAAATATTAATTCCAGAATATTTATTTCATCTATTTTCATATATTGAAACATCAAAAAAAAAAAAATCTTCTGGAGGCATCCACCAGGAAGGAAATGAAGAATGAGCAGGTAGACCTGTAGTAGACCACCATGTTACTTGACTCCTGCCATAATTCCTCAGATTTACAGTGAACCATCTGCCACCTGGACAGGCAATTTAAAGTGGGTGTTCTAGGTAACTGGCAATTGACCTTTGCTTACACTCCATTTACAGGGCTGTAGGTTTGACGTGCTATGTGATATGCATTGCTTAATTTGAGCTATTTCATTATGCTGTCTAATGGAAAACCTTAACCTTCATTTCACGCGTGGTGTCTCCTGTTGCTAGGTGGAAATGAGGACCAAAGTGCTTGTGGACTTGAGTGGGTGTTTCAAATCAGATAATTGGGGAAACCTGCCACTGAAAGCATTGGAAGAGATGACCAATTCAATTCCAGCCATTGTCGGGATTTATAATGGGGACACACTGATACTTAATTGTGCATGACATGTTACCATAGTGGCCTGCTCTGTCAATAATGTTTTTCATATCATTGAAACTAATAATGATTATTATTGAAACCATCTGGTATGCCACTTTGTTGTTCTTTTATTTGATAAATCAAACCATTTTACCATGAGACTGCATCCCGGACCTCTCAAAGAGTCTTATGTTGCACAGCTGAAGCCTAAACAGGCCGGCTCACTCTGGTCGCGCTCCTCTGGCCTTCTGTAATTCGTCGGCTACTGTCTAATGGCAAATGTTTCAGAACCAGAGTGCACTGTGATCTCATTCACCTGATTACAGATGTTCATCTTTTTGTTCTTGGAAGTCCATGTGCAATTACGAGACTTTTTATAGTCCTCAGCCTCTAGAAAAGGTGAGCAAAAACAACAACTGCTGCTGACAACACAGTGTACGACTTCGCCAAATGAATGCCACAGAGACAAAACAGGTGTACAGTAGCAGTGTGGCTGTGATGTATTCGGTTGCTGAGGCAGTTGGAAATGACCCCGTGTGTCAGCGCCGCAGATGTGCTGTGATAATCTCTAAACACACGATACGGTTGAGTGTTTTCAGGGATATCCTGGTGTCGATCACTTTGAAGGCTCTGGAAGGCGCTGAGGTTCCAATTAAACTTGTGTGGGCTGTGTGTGTTACATTTATTTTGTCACACTGCAGAGCTGTAATGTCCTTTGCACACATGCCTGTTTCATATAGGTAGAGCCTAAATGAGCGATAGTTTCTAGCATAGTAGAAATGGATGTATGTGGAATTATCTATGTATTTCTTGCCACTCTAGCTAAATATGTGTGTGCGTGTTTGTGTGTCTGAGCATTCGTGTTTGCGCATGCTTTCATATACAAACGTGTAGACACTTGTGAGAGAGAAAGAGCAATTGTCAGAGGGTCAAGTTGTTGATCTCTGTGCCAGGGAGTATTAGCTGCAATAAAATGGACTGATTAGAAGGAGAGCGAGAGCAGTGATTGATAGTGACAGAAAGCTTAATTATGGCTGAATCACACAGAGTTTGTCTGCCATGGTCCATTAATCTGGGAGTAGCCTTTAAGTAACCCCACACCACACCACCCCCAAACCCCTAAAAGAAGCAGACACTGCCAGTGGCCACAGGTGCACAGATAGTTCCATATGACAGCGTCCCAGCTCAGACATACTCTCACACATCAGTATGTCAACATGTGTACGCATAACTTATCTCCATGACATGTATGGTTGCACTCTGGGAAAACATATATTACCAAGTAGTATAATCCCACTTCTGTCACCCTCTGAGGGCCTTCTCCCCGTCCTCCCCTCCTCTCAGCTTGCATCCCCCACAGGTGTGTGTGTGTGTGTGTGTGTGTGTGTGTGTGTGTGTGTGTGTGTGTGTGTGTGTCTATGTACGTGCTTTTGTGTGCTCATATGTTGCCCTCTGTTAACCCTCCTCTACATCTTAGTTCTGATTGAAGTGCCCCTAATACCATGCTTTTCCCCCTTTGAAGAGCTCTCCTGAAACTCAGTGGAATATGTTTTGTGGGAGCCATTGAGCAGCTCTCAGGTGAGGCAATTTTCAGCACAGACTTTTAAAGACGCGGGTTGATTTAATAATTTATTTCACACATAGAGATCTCCTTTCCTCCTGGTTTGCTGCTATCTATAGAGCCTCCACATTTTTTTCTTTTTCTTTCTTTCTATTTTTTTTTTATTTTTTTTTTTTACCTCTGACAGTAATTGTATTGTTTTAGTGGACCTGTGTCCTGGGGTGCTGTAGTTTATGTGGGTGGCAGGGTTCCCTGGCCCTCGTGTGTATATTCATGAATATTTTATACTTTAATTTGACACTGCATTTTGTATTGAAACACGATATGGCTAAAATAAACAAAAGTGCAAACATATTAAATAAAATTTTGCTGTGCACAGACTGAAACAAGCCCTCTCTCTCCCAGACACTATTTAAACAGGGATCTGCAGTTGAAAGTTTGGTAACAACCGCCAATTATCGTTATCTGTGTGTGTAGCTCCCTTAACTTAAATCCAGGTTGTGCCCGGTAATTGATCAGTAAGTGAAAGTGTGCCTTTCGTTTGCACAAATGTGTCAGGGACAGAGAAGTATGAGCATGTTAATGCCACTGTTCTGATTACACAGACACCATTTATATTTTCTGGCAGTGAGTCAGAAGCTTCTGTTTTCAGGAAATGCCAAATGACTAAACATTTAAATACAGATCTTTTGCAGGCTGATGATAAGGATTTCAGCAGTCAAAGGGGCAGTGTGGTTTTCACTAAAATGAACTTGATATCAAGCCCTGAAATTTATTTATTTATTTTGGCTGATATTAACACTCATCTTTGACTTGATGTAAGTCTTCTAACAGCCAGGTTAAATCTGTTAAGTAAGCCTGTTATCTGTCTCTATCCTCAGCACTTTTCCTTGACAAATTAGCTTGTTTTATACATTTTCAGAATACTCAAAAGAATGATTTTATGGCTCAACGCATAGCAGTTACTGTGTTTCAAGAATTGCAGGGCAATCAGAGTAGATGGCATATTCATAACAGGCAACAAACACACACAGGATTCCCTGTACAGCTCCACTTGTACGTCAAATTTGTTAGAAGTGAAATGAAATACAGCAGAGCCTCCATTGCTCTACAATAGAGCGACTCAGCAGGGGCTTTCCTCAGAGTCCAGGATTACGGTACAAATGACAGCCTTTTGTCCTTAAAACAATCTCTCATTGGCAGTCGCCTCCGCATCTCCTCTCAATCAATCTCTGTCTCAGTCTACTCTCTGCCACCTTCCCTCTCCCTATGCTCCTTCTCCCTTTTCCTACTCTTTAATTCTTCCAGTCAAGCCATAATCTAGTCAGGCAAATGTAGAGCATGATCCATCAGTACTGTCAATATTCGTGCCAGTTTTTACCATGCTCCAACTTGGACACGAGAGTCTTTCAGGGATACTTTCAGAGCTCACTTTCAGTCATACCATTTACAAAGACGGTTTAGAAAGCTGAAGGCAATCTCTGTCAACAACAGTAGAATCATGGATGTATTACACATCATGTCTGCAGAGCCAGAGCTGGCATAAAGGAAGGTTATTAGCAATACAGATGGCTTGTATGATGAAAAGAGTCACTCTGTGAAAAGGTGATTTCATCAGATTTGGAGCTGGGTGAGAGGGAAGTGGTGATGAGGGAGCAGGCAGACCTCATGACTTCTTTCATGACACTGGTGCACGGCCTCACAGCTGTCCCCATATTTCTAAGTTAACATCTAAGTTAACTTAAAGACACTCAGTGGCTGATGAAAATTAATTGGGTGCGGGTGGGGGCAGCTCTGTATCAGAGTGGGCTATGCTAATAAAACCAAAGCATCAGGCCTGACGAAGGTCACTTCCTATTAATTAAAAAAAGCTTCTAAAAACAACATCCTAATTAATACTGGCAAAGAGGAAAGGTCTCCAGTAGGGAAGAACATTAAAAGGTACGTCTGTTTAAGAACAAATGAGAGGGCATGGTGGGAGGACGGAGGATGGAGGGCTCACATACAGTCTGAGCATCATCCTGCTGCAAAGAATATTGTAACATGAGCCGCCGCTCTTTTTGCGAGAAGGATGTGTACAGTACAGAGAGGACATTACCTGAAGGCAGACTGAGAGACACTTCAGTTTTGTCACACAGCTAGAGTTGATTAAATTTGATTCTTTTTTCCTTGTACACCAGCAACCCCTGCATCCTGTGGCAAGGTGTAGACAACCTTATATATATATATATATATATATATATATATATATAGTAAAAAGACACAGAAACATATTAGATATATATTAGATGTATCCTTTTTTATTGTTATTGTTACAGCATTAAGGCAGAAAGAGCCCAAGGCTGAAGAGAGAGCAGAGTCAGTTCAGGGTGTATCTCTGGTAGTCATCTTGACCCACGGTTCTTTTATTTTTAAAGATTTCTTTGCCACCACTGGGTGTTAATAAGTTTGATGCTGATGCAGATGATTTGTCCCTAACCAGTCTTTCATTTCAATGAGCACTGTCAACACTTAAGAGCCTTCCTGCTGTGGATACTAACACAGCCATGGGGCTGACTAGCATGTGTCTGAAGACTCCTGAGCTCTTGCGGTGTTCGATGTTGCCGGAAGGTCCTTGTGGCATCAGAT